GCTACACACTCAGGGCATCTAGTTCTGACATTCATGGATTTCTCTAGATCCATGGAACTAAAAATGACACTTAGTGTGACGCCAAAGAGGTTCTGACAAAGTATATGAGTCTGCAGCGAGATTAGACTCCTGTGATGAGATGCGGAATTCAGAAGCAGCAAAGCACACCCTTTGCTCTGCTCAGGGTTTTCCAGGTACAGCCTTATTTAGTCTGGTATGACCAATAGCTTGTAGTGACTAATCTTAGCTCGTTTTAAATCTCATGGCTGGACCTCTGTATGTGAGGGGATGTCTTGCAGTCGCTGCTCTGGACTGTGGGCCAAACGGTCACTCTGACTCCATCAACAGCTTTACACAAGATAAACTGTCAGAGGAGTGTTAACATGCAGGCCAGTTAACAGTAAACAGCTGTTCATCCATGGAGATATGTGGAGCCTCTGTCTGAACAGTAACGGTGGTTGTGCACGTGAGCTGTTTAAATAATGTACAGCCTGTTGACAGGATGAGATTCAGAACTGGGATGACAAGGATGCTTCTATCATGACATCTTTGATTCTCTTTGATCGAGCTAATTTACTATTGAATAAATGCTTTAATACATTTCTTGGGTTTTCTAGCATGAGTCATTCTCACCTGGACTTTCCATCACACCATAAAACCAGGACTATTGAGTCAGTGTACCAACTTTGTGACTCGAGCATGAAAGTGCACTTAACTCTACAAAAGCAGGAGAACAGGTGGATTTCAGCTGGCAAAATGTTTGTTTCCATTTCCAGAGAATAACTTCTAATTTATTCATTTCATCTTTATTTTCCTCCTTCTGGTCTAACACGTGTGAGGAACCTGTATGTGGAGGTTTTCCTCTGCAGCCCTCTGATGACTAAACCTGCCCACGTATTCCGTTTCATGTAGACATATGTCAAATTACTGAAGCTAAAGATGCTCCAACTTCTCTTTCACTGTGACTTTAAAGGTTGGAAATGTCAAAAGTTTAAAAAAAAAAAAAAAAAAACATCTTTAAAGTCTTTGCATGAGATTTACATGAACCATCAGCGCCTGATGTTAACTGGGGACAGGAGGCGAAGATTTGGTCTAAAAGTCTCTAACAAACATGACTCATTGCAGAAAGAAAGCTTGGAGCGAAAAAGCGATGACCTATTTATCAAAGACGACTGCAGAAGTAGTGTGACCCAGTAACAAATCACTCTTCACAACACATATTTTACCTTTTCTTCTCTTGCGTCTCTTTGTTTCCCTTCTTTCCCCAGCTGTCAGAGGAGCTGCTCTGAGTGCTCGTCTTCCTCCAAAAGGTTTTTTCCTGCACTCTCAACTCTTCCCCGAGGTCATGAGTGCAAACTACTTACTCCTGTAAATTAATGATCTTAGTAAGAATCTGCGCTCGCCTGCCCTTGTTGATTATTCTGACAAAAGGCATGTGTACGACCTACTCAGCAGATCGCGCAGAGCGAGGATTATAAAGTACGAGGATGTGGGAGAGGGTTGTTTGTTTGCTCTGACTCTGCTGCAGTAAATGATGATGCACACAGACTTTCACATATGATCTCACCGTTGACAGACACGGTTCACACTCTGCTTACTCGCTTTATTCTCAGCACTTAAGTCTGCTTATTCTTACCGCCGCTGTCTCGCACACAGACACGTACTTCATCTTGGTGATGACAGAGGCGCTGCAATGCTTCCTCTCCTGTATCACTTTCCTCTCCGCTCCTTTTACATATCATTTCACACATTCACGTTTAGATTTAAATGCACATGTAAGTAGTTTGCAAGTGTAAACTGTAGGAAGAAAAAAAAAGGAGGTGTGTTATTGTGTAAGAATGAATCTCTTTTCATCAAAAACTCTATTAACCCCAAAACTTTTACTCCTCCTAAGTTTCTGACTTGAAGTGAATCTTAGTCTATGCCTTGCTTCATGTTGCACCATCATTAATACTTCTGTTAGCTAAAACTCAGTTAACTAACTAGACAAGCTGGAAAGTCAAAGTACGAGTCCTGCTGTGATTCTCTGCTTGTTCATTTATTGATAACCTAGTATTTTACATGACCACAGAAAAATATAGCATTCTTCCTTTCATCTCTTAAAAAAAATCTGAGCGTCTCTGGTATTAATAATTAACATCTTAATTTTTAATATGGGACCGGACACCATGTGAGCATTTTTCAAAGCGGTAGTTAAAATTGAGGCTAATTATGAGTAGCAGTTATTTAAGCCCCTAAATCAGTGAATAATTGTCCTCAAGTGGATTCGAATCTGGAAGCAGTTTAGTAATTTTGGACTGAAACAAAAAAAGAAAAAAGAAAAATTCTTGACAAAGACAATACTGAAGCAATTTGTATAATGATAATCGAAATAAGATTATAACTGTGATCTTATAACTGCAGATCTTTTTGCAAAAGGCAAACAATGTAATAAAAACTAGTTTTTCAAAGAGTAGAGAAAGAGTTGGTGGCGTTACCTGTCTCCATAGACTGCCACTTTGTTAAATCCCTACTAATTACCAGCTGATTGCTGTAGTGCTGCTCTCTGCAAGTTGATGCTTTGAAGCATCAGTTGAAGATCTCTGATTCCAGTCAGATGCTGCCAGTCAAATATATCTGCATGACGACATGCGCTGCGTTCATAATTAACTGATGAGTGAAGCAGAAACCTGAGGTGTAAGGATACTCTTGTCAGCAGGCAGCGTTTACCTTAAAGGAACGTGTCTTTGTGGGAAACCTGTGTGTGATGGAGTTTCAAGGTCTGGGAATTATCGGATAATAACTCATAAATAGAAAAATAAAACATTGGGTTTTTGTTTGTTTGTTTTGTTTTTCCAAAACCAAAAAAGGACAAATCATTGCAGGTGTCAGAATCAAAAATAATCAATGAATTTTTGCAATTCCTTTTTATTTGTTTGAATTACAAATAGATTCTGGCCTTTCTGATGACACCCGGACCACCCAGTGTTGCAGGAGTGAGACATTCTAGTGTGTGGAGGATACAGCATTACTAGCACATTGCTGAATGCCCACAGAGGTGATGAAGTTATTGTAATCAGCTATAAAATGTGTTGACAGGCCCGAGTGTAACAGCTAAGATATATCGCCACCAAGCCCGATAGGTCCTACCGCTGTGTGATGATAGAAAGAAAGAGAGCAAACTTCATTACACTAATACATACCTTCATGAGGTTTATTATATAACATGGCCCTTTTTCATGCATCAGAAGCAATGGGTCATTAAACAAAAAAAAGTGAAAAAAAATTCTGGTTTGGACAAAATCCTACTGCAAGGTGCCGCAGTTGGTTAGTACTGTTGCCTCGCAGCAAGAAGGTTGCCGGTTCACGTCCCAGTGGGGGCACCGGGATCTTTCTGCGTGGAGTTTGATGTTCTCCTCTTGCAGTGTGGGTTCTCTCCGGGTTCTCCGGCTTCCTCCCACAAGTCCAAAAACATGTTGAGGTTAACTGGTGATTCCAAATTGTTTGTAGGTGTGAATGTGAGTGTGCTTGGTTGTCTGTCTCTAAGTGTGGCCCTGTGATAGACTGGTGACCTGTCCAGGGTGTCCCCTACCTTCACCCTAAGTCGGCTGGGATAGACTCCAGCCCCCCACACCCCTAGTGAGGATTAAGCGGTGTGTAGATAATGGATGGATGGATGGATGGATGGATAAAATCCTCAGTCTGTTGGGTGAAACTTGTAGGTGCTGTCAACACCCTTCAAATGTTTTCCAAGCCTTTTACAAAATGTAAAAACGTATAAACATCAACAAGCGCTGTAAAGTGATGCATACCTCTGAGATGCCAGTGGCTTTGATGAAGCTCCTCCAAGTAAAAGTGAGCTTTACGAACATTTTAATGGATAAATAACTCTCCATACACTCACCATAAACTCACATTGTATTGCATACAATTGGAAAGCTGCAAACAATCCTTATTTCAACACTCTCAGACACTTTCAAATATTGAGATTAATATCTGATGTTGAGAACATGTAACTGTCTCATCTTCATAATGAAGACAGCAAGCGTTATGGCAGGTGTCCATCCATAAAACACACAGACTGTCACTTTTACGTTTGTTTTTGTGCACAGATTAAACAAAGAATGGGAGTCAGAGTCAGACAAACCCGGCTGTTTTTGCTAAGCTCAGCTAATCACCTCCTGGATTTAGCTCCAAGCTTAGTACACAGATATGAGAGTCTTCTCATCTAATTCTTGGCAAAAATAATACTGTATTCATATTTAGATTTATGTCAAACGTAACTCTGGGGGGCTTTCATTGTGTCCATATCTGCTGTTAAACCTTTACACGAGGAACACAAGTTGCTGTCTAAACAATATTCAAATGAGCGGGATATTCTCCTTCTTCCCACCTCAACACCAATATTCCTAAAACTCTGTGATTTTCCACACTATCACACACCTCCACCGTGCACCACTTCTTTGTCTCTCAGATCTGACAGCTTGCTTCTGCACTCGTGCATCATTTAGACAGATGAAACGGGAAGCTTCGCCGCTGTACACCTTAATCATCTGCTGCATGCAATTCCCACTGAGAGAGAAGATATTACATAACTCATTAAGCAGCATTCCTGCCCTCTTGCTCTGCGCTTAAAAGATCTCGATGCCAAACATTTACTCGGTGCTGCTTAATGGAGAAATTAATATGTGTGACTACACTGGAGTTTTAACATTTGTAACCTCGAACCAGAATCTCTTTTAATTCCCTCAGTTAGTGTTTTATGTATTGGCTTGCACACTCACACACAGTTACATACTTATTCCATTACGCAATCACTGAATCCCTGCACCCTAAGAGAGGTTTTGTCCAATCAGACTGACTCATTAATCGGTCCTGTTTGTATTTCTACATGGGTGAATGTACATCATTTCCATCATCTGTATCTATTTTCAGTAAAGTTGAAGTGGACGGTGCAAAACAGCAAAAAGTTGGTTCGTTTTAACTCTCCGTCTTCATCACCTCCTGTCTGGATTACTGCAATGGAGTCCTGTCCAGGATACCTCACAAAGCCCTGGACAGGTTCCAGTATGTGCAGAACTCAGCTGCCAGGATTGTTCCCCACACCGGACCCTGGCAGCACATCATCCCCACCCTCACCCACCTTCACTGGCTCCCAGTCAAACTCCACATCTCGTACAAAATCCTCCTCCTCACCTATAAATCCCTTCATACCCTCAGTCCCTATCCGATCTCTTCCATCCCGATGTCTCATCCCAGAATCTGCTGTCCTCGTATCCAGGTCTGCTCACCATCCCTCATACCTGTCTGCGGTTCTTTGAGGACAGAGTCTTCGGTGTAGCAGTTTTCTCTCATGTCTATGGAGAAAAAACACTCCTAAAAACCCACCAGTTCATCAAGGCCTTTGGTTTGAGCTGATTCAGTCTCCCCATAAATCATTGCCACCATTGTTTTCTGTTTTTGTATGTTATTCTTTTCATATGTGTAAAGCATCCTTGGATCCCTTAAAATATGCCTATGTGCTATATAAATTCAAGCTATTGTCATTATGATTGAATATAATCTCAACAACACTGTCTCCCAAAAATTACAGCATATTTTAAGGAAAGCTAAACTGCATTCTCACTTTCATTTTGAAAAAACTTATTTTAGGTTTGAAAGAAACATATTCTCTCACCAAAAGGTAGGACTGTGATGTGATAGGAAAGGTTTCCAATTTGAAGGAGCCACAAAGCTCATGTGAGGAGATAAGAGGGACCAAGGTGAGACAAATCAGCAACAGGACTCTCACCCAGGAGAGCAGGATTTACATCTTGTGAGCTACCATCGGTCTTACACTTTAATTTTGTTTTCACTTGCTTCTGGGTAGGTTCAGGCACCAAAGGGGATTCTTTGTACATCAATTACATGAGGCAGGTGCGTCGGAGAGGAAACAGACTCCTTAATAAATTAATAGATTTACAATTGCAAGTTAGGTTTAGGCACCAAACTATCCTACTTTGGTCGACACTTTCACAATAATAAGTACTTGTTAGCTTGGTGAACTTAAGGCAACATATTTATCTAGTTAGGTTAAGGAAAATGGCATCGCTTTGGTTCAAATACAACCTTTTCACAACATGTTGGATGTTTCTCCTCCATTTTCTGGGTCCCAGGGTAACACTGGCCGGCGAAAAAGGAGCAATGGTAAAGCTAGAAAAAAAAAAAGGCACAGATATTAAAAACGTATCTATGATACGTCCCAAAGAAATATAATTTTTGGAAGGGCTGAATCCAAATTGTGACCCATCTGAGTTTTCTCCAGAGCTCAATTCAACATCCAACATCCTCCCTGAGAGGATGAGTACAGGCACCTTAGCTGTGCATCAACGAAAATATGTAGTTCCCCGCCACTGCATGTTACAGATACCAATGCTGGAGACGAAGAAACAGGGTTTGATACACAACTTTGACAAAAGATATGAACGTACTACAGACATCTAACAAGAAAAATCATATAAAATATAAAAATAATAATCTCCACAGGACAGCCAAAAGGATATTTTCCACCAGTGTCCATCATTAAATGTGACAAAGGGACACTTCAGACACTTCTGAGCCAGTATACCAGTACCACTGCAGTCTGTTGGTTCTGCTCCGACATCTTCACGATGAGAAAAGATGAAGATACTGATAACGATGATGATGACATTATAAAAATGACTTCTTCCTCCTAATCCACTAATCTGGCACATGCTGAGAGGTCAGCAGCATGCACACACACACGTACGCATACCCACACAATGTATATATTGCAATATGTGGAACATGTCAGTAGCTAATCAGCTTAAACTAAAGCACACTGCACACTGATTATAGTGCGTGTGTGTGCATGTGTGTGTGTGTGTGTGCGTGCAGTGATTAAGGTAGAGGCTCAGAGTTGTAAGTGTAAACGTTGTTCCCGTAAAGACTAACTCTTGACATCTCCCCACCCCTCTGGTTCAGTATAATTTTCTAATTTATTCCACCAGAACACCCTGCCATCCTCAGCGCTGCTCTGTTTCTCTTCATGCCTCTCTCACTCTGCAGGCCTCTTTCATGTCTGTGTGTGTGTGAGAAGTGGTTAGTATTCAAAAGTTGAGCCGCATCTTTACATCTTTGGTAGCGCCGCCGAGATGTGATGAAATCTTCCGTCTTTGATGCCACGCTTCTGTCATTGTGACACCGTCTGCATATTCACACACATATGCACTGAGTTCACTTGTGCATGGCGAATCAGATCGGCAAGCATATCAATACGCCTTCCTGTTTCATTCAGTCAGATGCTCTGTCAATTAAACACACAAACAAAAACACAAACAACAAATATCATTGATTTCGTTCCTCTCATGTGGACGACCTTCCAGAGCATGTTCCTGGGGTCCGTGTGAACGTCGGTGAGTGCTGCATGTGTGTCCGTCCATCCCTGGGGCTCACATCAAGTGCACTGGCTGCATCAGTGGACTTCATTAATGCTAATAGCCAGGGCTTTACTCTCTGGCTCCCAGTTTGTTCCACTGTTCATTAGCCTCAGTTGATTTAGCGTGGGAGCGGTTGGCCGGCAGGGATGGAATCATTGTTTCACCCAAAGTTACCAGCCTCAAGGTAAAAGGGTGATGTTTTGTTAGTTTTAACTTGTGTTAATCCAGCGTTTGCGTGACGTTTCTACAGCACACACTCACACCTTAGAGATTCCAGGGATCAGCCCTGGTGAACTTTCCCTTCCCAGTGGTGAAAAGTAACTAAGTACATTTATTAAAGTACTATACAGAATGATTATTTTTGAGCTTCTGTGTATTTCATTTGAGTATTTCCCCATTCTGTTGCTTTACTATAATTCAGAGGCAAATATTGTTACTTCTTACTTTACTGCATTTATTTGTCAACTTCTTACTTTGCCGGTTTAGTTAAATCATACAAAATATAATTTAAAAATACATTGTGATTTAATAAAACTTTATTGATCCACAAGAGGATAGTCACAATATACCCAGCAGATAAACCATATGAGGTAGTTAAATCATCTTTAATAGCTCTGACTTATAAGTAATGAAAACAACAATGCATCAATCATTATAATACATTTTGCTGAAATGCACCATAATACCATTAAATTTGGTACTTGAAGTAGATTTAGATGCATATTTTTTTATGCTCTCTTACTTAAGTATGATTTTAATTGTAGAACTTTTACTTTCCACACTTCGGTATCAGTATGTTGACACACTAAGCAGACCTTCAAGTAGCGACAAAGGCATGTCCATCAAAATCTTCAAATTTATGCTACCGCATATTTTCTGTGTAAATTTGATCTTGGAGTCGTTCTTATGCCTTAGGACATCGTCCACATAACACAATATCAGACTAAAGAAGCTCCTTAGAAGGAAGACAGATAAGAGCATTTGGACAAACAAAGACAGATGAAGGTGAACATAAAAGCACACATCTTTACAGCAAAACACCTAATTAGCATTCTATGAAAATGATCATGATGCACAAACAAATCAGCGATTTTTACTGCACTGTGAACATTCTGTTTAAATACTTTGCTACAGTTTAACTGGTAAGGTTTTCTGCATGAGCAAAAATAGAGAAAAGCTGGAGGCTAAAACAAAGAGAAACTGCACTAAATGAGTGAAATCTGCAACTCTCCAATATGAAGTGATAGTCGTCGACTACAGACGGGTAATGACAGCCGAGCAGCTTTTGACTGTATGTTGCTTTGGTTTGTGTTACGTCCCTCAGGCGGAAACATGTTGTGCAGGGAGGCCGTCCATTGGCCAATCATATACTTGCAAGCACACAATCCTGGTGGATTACTTTGTAATGTGAGCAAAGCATTCCTGTTGTCTGCCTTGTAATTGTCATGATGAAAAATAAACCAGCTGTGGCTCTAATAACTTGTTGCAAAATGCTTTGCTTTATGTTGTGCTTTGGCATCTAATGAGGCTTTAAATTTTCTAGTCTGTTAGTCGAACTGGACGCTCTGGATTGCTTTTCATGTCGTGGCAGCACACAAAGTAATCTCTGTGCATCAAAGTCAAATATTTACTTTTCTAGTCGCAAAAATATTCCTTTCTTACTTTAAAATGGCTAAAATGGAACTCTGCATCGTTGCCTCATTTAAAATGTGCAACTCTATGAAGTTCTCTCCTTTCTCTCCACCCACCACTCTAAAACCCGCTGCAGCTCGAGCACACCAGCTCACTTACGACTCCTCAAACACTGTGAAACTGCTCTACATCACACATGTTTGAGACAGTCACTGCAGTTTCAAGGTGGGAATGCTCAGCTATGGCGTCAGCTGCTTATTTTGCTCATGTTACATCTAACAGGATATAAAAAACACCATATGGATGTGGTAATAAAGTAAAAACAACTTTGTTTTCAACCAAGGTGGTCTTTAAATGAAGTGTTGTTGAATAATTAGCATCTTCTTTGCAATGCCATTCATAGCTGGGAACTGCCACAGATGCCTGAGGGCCCCAAAAGCCAAGATTCACTATACTGGTTTATAAATATTAACCACAAAAGTGCAATATGAATTGAAATGGTAAAAGCCTTCAGGCAAAGCATGCATTATAACCTCATTTTCAAGTCCTGTCTTTTAGAGGGGCCCTGCATTTTTAGACCTTCACACCAAACAAACATGTGCATAGTGAAATTACATTGAATCAGCTGGTACACAACGAACACTGAGCAGGAAGTACTCCAACGTACTGACAGAGTACTGGTTGGATCTTGGGCTTTAGGCACATTATAATGAAGCTGCCACATGTACTGTTGTATGTGCACTGTACGCTTATGGTGACAGGGTGTTTACAGGGTGCACAGAGTGGAAGGTACTGGAATGAACTGGGTAGTTTGGCCTCCAGCATGGTTGTACTTCAAGGTTAACACAGCTATGCTCCAAAGAAAGTGTTTTTATATGTGTTTAATGTCTGCATAATGGAGCTGCAGTATGGTTACAGCACTGAGATCAGTTGGGGTTATGACTAAAAATATTAATTGTCAGTGTGCAGCCAATACGATAATGTGTGTCACTTTTAAGGTAAAGTGTGTTACTGTCTGTAAAAATACTGGATTTATCCCTGATTCTTTTTGTCTGTCTCTTTCCAGAACAGTACCATCTGAATAACTCAGCTTACGGGCCGTTTGGACAAGGGCTTCCACACCCGCACAGCAACCACAGCACAGTGGGACTGAACAAATATACCTCCCTTAAAGCTGTGGGTAAGTCGGACACACGCACACAATGATGCTGACTCCAGCTGACACAGTAACCTTTACAGTACAGTAAGCTGGCAGTACAGGAGCTGTCAGCTGATGAGGGTCTCTTTGCCTTTTGGCAAACAGAGAGTTGATCTTAAAGAGGAGCCCCACAGAGTGTTCCTATCTGACACCGCGGTGCGACTGGTTAGGTAACGTTCACCGTCTAAATGTTATCGAGAGACTGATGTAAACTGGGGTTCACAGCAGAGTCACTCCACAGTGGTTCTTTTTTCTGCAGACAAGTGCAGGGAAGTGATTTTTCTATACTACTGAAACCTTTAGTTGTTTAAGTAAAGACTAGGATTGTATTAAACATCCCAGTAGGGAAATATTTTAGCAGAGTCCAACCAGACAGCACAGGTCAGTGCCAAGGACAGAGCTCTATAATACATATGTTTCATGTAGCAGAGCCTGGGGAAGGTCTTGGTCAGGAGGAAGCTACTTGACCAAACATGTTGGAAGTAGTGTGGATTTACCATCGTCCTTTGTCCCTGATTTCAACAACTGTCAGAATTTATGGTTGATTGTATGTATTTTATTATGTCTAACAGTTCTTATTGTAAATGTTCTGGGGTTTTTTTTTTTTCATTTCTAGAAGAAATGCTAATGCAGCTGACTTCCACACATAAGCACACATAGAAGAAACATTAGAAGACACATCTCTAAATCGGTTGTTTTTATGAATGAACCTCTCTGGCCATTGACAGAACCCTTAAAAACTCAGCTGTAACTCTTTATCATTGTTTACTCTACAATGTGTGGATCTATAAAATCCCTCCATCCATCCCTCTCCACTCCCTGCAGCTTGAGCACACCAGCTCCCCTACAACTCAAACGCTGTAAAATTACACTATGTTACGTAATGGCAAGTTGTAATACTGGGGTAATCTGTGTTTTTGAGACATTCATTCTTCATTCATTGGGAAAACGATAGTCTAAAATCACTTTTTCTGCGATAATTTTTTTGTCCAAATTCTAAATAGTTTGTCTTGCCAGATGCAGACTTTGAGTGAAAATCTTCTCTTTGCACCATATATTTCGCATGGCATTCCCATTTTTAGAATTCCCGCTGGCAAAGGAAACAGCAACCTACACACTGAAATTTGTTCTGCCAAATATTTAGCAATAAGGTAGACGTGCTTGGTTCTTTTGGCGCATTAGCTAGTTTAATGAAAGTCCATGTTTCCTTGCATGCAAATGTTCCATCAAATCAAGATCCACTGATACCATTTTGCAGGGACAACGTTGCTTCTTCCTGAGCTTAGCACTGATGATTGCAACTGATTTACCCAAAAAACAAAAAAACAAATCACGGCTTTTTTTGTTTGTTTTTTTTTGCTATAGCAGAATGATAATGAGGTGCAGTCAGACCATTCTCCAGCACTGAAACTGCGCTGTTGAGACAGATCTGGCTATTTGAGACTAAACTCTAAGTGTAAATTGTATGAACTGTAGTGCCTTCAAAACTTCACACAATGTAAACAACTGGAGTGTCACATTCACGGTAATAAGCTTTGCAGTCAGTGACGGCACGAAATGATGATGGTTCATGGTTGTCTGAAACCCCAATGCACTGCTGTGTTGAGTAAATGAGTGAACTGGGACACAGCACAGGCCCAAAAATAGTTTGCAGTATCACGAATGGACACAGATCCATCCTATCAGATTATATTCTTACGCACATCTTTCCTGAATTGACCCTCTCTGATGGTGTGCTTGTATTTGTGTGTTTTTTCACTGCACTTTAATTGACGCCTCCAGATGTGGGTTTTGTAAGAGATTTGTGATGTAACTGTGAAGCAGCTACAGCCTGTAATGGAGGCTGTAGGGTTTTTACCAGGTGACTCTAGAGACTGTTTGTAAAGGTCACAAACACACATGTTGTTGTCCTTGAATAGGGACTTTAACAGTGAACAGAGCTCCATCCAACCTCAGGCATCCCATTAGAACAAAACAAATCTCTACCAGTCAGCCAAAGGCAACACTTCTTGTCAAGGTAAATTTTATTTTTTTAACCTTCATTATCTGTGGAAGGTGAAGCATGACTGCAATTTTCCATTGACAACGTTTTTCACATCCTGTACATTCATCTTTCCACTCTAGAGATGCCCAGTGACAGCATAGGCTTCAATGAGTGGACACACTTTCTGAGATAAAACGAGTTGCACAAAGGTATTAAGATTAAAGTAATTTGCTATTAGCACATCCCCTGTTAGGACCTGTCAAGCTTTCCAGTTCTTCATGGCACACATGCAGTTAATGATGATAACAGTGTTAGATTTAACATTCAGGCTTCAAAGTATAGAGGTTCCTCGTTGTTAGTCAGCTTTCGTCGATTCTGTCAGTCCGAATGACAACTGGAAGATTTTATCAGCTTGAGTTTGATAGCTAATTTATGTTGGCTTCATGAGCTGCTGGTAAATGCCATCTCTGGATGACTTTTTAATGTTTGTCAAAAATGAGAAAGAAAATACTGCACTGACAGACAGACAGACAGACAGACAGACATAGAGCAAGACATAATCTTGTTTAGATCAGAACTTTTCAGATCCTTTACTTCGGTCAAAGTACCAGTACGGGGATATCAGAAAGTCCTGCATGAAAAGTCCTACTGCAGTAAAACTACATCAGTTTTAGAAGGAAAAGGTAGTTTAAGTATCAAAGTAGTGGTTTTGTCCCTCTGATATATTATCATATACAGCATCATCAAGTTATTAACAGTGAAGCTTCAGTGCATCAGAAGCATGTTACTGTTGTAGCTGCTGCAGATGGAGCTGGTTTAAACTATGTTGTGCACAGTTTAATATGCAAGGATACAAGATCAATCTGAGGGCCCATCACAGGGAGAGGTCAGAAGAACCACCAAAGCTCGGATCCACAAATCTGTTCTCAGTTTTTAGACTTCTTCTCTAATTTTTTGGAAACATACTGGATCATTTATTTAAATTAAATGGGAAAAGTTTAGAGAGAAAAATCATAATTTGGTGGAGCTGTAATCAACTTAGATATCTGAAATAGGCTGCTTTTTGAAGGAAATTTAGAAGACAAAATGGTTGGCAACCACTGGTTTAATCATTAACAAAGTGTTTGAAAGCAAAAACCTTGTTATATTACAGTATCTATTGTTGTAAAATCTTAATTATTTCATTTATTCATTCGGCTTTTATCTACACTTGAGGGATCGTCGAGGTGAGACCCTCTTTTTTTAAATGACATTTAGTTATATAACCTGAAAAAAGGTGCAATCACAGTTGGTTAAAACAATTTTTTCTTTTTTTTTTTTAAATCCTATTTTGGTTAGATAAAATAACTAAGCTGTAAATTGAAATGAAGTAATATGAAGAACTTGCAAAAAAAAAGTTAAACATTCAATAGATACGCTAAGGAATTAAAATGTATAAAATACAGTAGTGCTTAGTAATCATAAGTAGAGTTTGGAGGATTTAAAATCTTTTTTTTTTCTTTTCTTTTTTTTAAAATGATACAAGTGTATTAATTCTAAGGAGATGCTGTGTTTAGTTTCACGTGTTGACAGGCTGGGTTGTAAGCCAGCTAGGATGATATCCTAACATTTGCCAGCAGGATGTTAAAATACAATACAATGCTGTATGAATATTTCCTTCTCACAGTTTTGCTTTGTTTTGACTGAATTTCCATTTAAAAAATAAAATAAATATGCACTGGGCAAAAATGGCAGCTTCTGAGAATGTTGATGGTGGAATGTGATTTTCTGACATAAATGATGAAAGCGCACACAGAGACAAGGTTAGCGTTCATGTAGCCAGGAAGCTAGCGGCGATGACCTCACTGTTTGGTTTATTTAAATAATTCTCTCTGACATTCATAATGCACAGGACACACACACACACACACACACACACAGATTCAGGGCGAGTGTATTTATAACTTACATTGCTGTGTCCCCTCATCCTGACACACATACCTTTACCTCCATCATCTCCGTTGCGCTCCTCACTTCCTCCTTCCTCCTCCTCGTCGCTCTCTTTGCCTTCTGCCCTCCTGTGTCTCAGCAAAAGAGGAATGCCACTAATATTCATTCACCTTGGGGGCATAAAGCAATTGGAAATACTTAAATCACCAGCTTTCCCCTTTGATCTACTTCAAACTCTCCCTTTCATCCCGACCTTCTTTCCTCCGACTTTCTCTATACATAATCTTTCCGCTCACTTAAAGTTATTTTATTTCTGAATTTCCCATTTTCTGTCCAATTTATTTGTAATGGGGAAAAAAATATAACTTTCTTTTTCTGTGTGTTTCTGATGTCTCAGAGTGGCTCCTATCTATTGTTAGGCCTCAGTTTTCTGCTATTATTTTGTCAGTCACTGCGTTTTCTCTACCATATTATGGCGTTCTATAGTTTTCCTACAAATTGTCACCACTTCCTCCTCAACTTTCACTTTGCTGTCCCTCTAATTTTCCATCCGAACATCCAAACAGTAGTCACAATATGCTACAAGCTACCCCATTACAGTATGCACGCTTACATATACCTGAATAAAAGAGGCAAAACACTGATGTTTCCACACAACTACACGATAATCAGCATTTATTCATGCTCTGTGGCATGTAACAGATGCTGAACAGGCCCCGTTGATTCAGATTTTTTATCAAGATAGCAAAAGGAAAAGAGCTTTAAGAGACAGTTTAAGAGAAGACTGCTCAGTTAGGTGTCAGTAGGTACTGCATTTAGATCTTTGGGAAAGACATCGGTCAATAGGTTTGGAAATGGTGACCGACAGTGAACAAGAGCAACTTTTCCTTGATTGATTGAGAATATAATTTCAGGATGTAATCAGTCTGTCAGCAATCACATAGAGAGGGATATTAGAGTAGTGCTGCAGTGCATTAACCCCTCATTACAAAGATGTCTGCATATTTAAGGGTTAGTGGTGTATAAAGCATTAGCAGTGGTCAACAGAGATGTGGAAACAAGTGATACAGTCAGATTTTCGACAATTCGGTGACTGTGGTGTTTACCAACAGAACTGTACAAACCTGCCTGCTGGACCTCTACAGAGTGACTCTGAGGTGCATATTGCTGGCTTGGTTTGGGTCGACTTGTCGCCTTAGCTGGAAGAATCACTTTACATTTATACATGTTGTTCTGGGGGATCAACTTTGCTGTCCTTGAGCTGAGAAGCTCCTGTTTCATAATGCACAGAGAACCCTGTTTTTATGTGATCACATTTATCCTACGATGAAACACTTCTTTCTTGATGCAAGTGGTCTCTTCCAGGATGACAATGTCTGAATTGGTAAGACAACAGGTCACTGAACGGTTTAATGAGTATTAAAATGATGCAAATTATGTCGTCTTTAGATCGTACCTTGTCTAACACCTATGCGAGGTTTTGGTCGGCGCTGTCCACCACCATCAACAAAACACCTAACAAGGGAATATCCTGTAGAACAGGGGTCTCGAACTCCAGTCCTCGAGGGCCGCAATCCTGCAAGTTTTAGATGTTTCCTTCTTCCAACACACCTGATTCACATGATCAGGATCGTTATCAGGCTTATGCAGAGCTTCATGATGAGCTGATCATTTGAATCAGGTGTGTTGGAAGAAGGAAACATCTAAAACTTGCAGGATTGCGGCCCTCGAGGACTGGAGTTCGAGACCCCTGCTGTAGAAGAATGGTGTTCATCCCTCAAGAAGAGTTAACACATTTGAAGGATAAATGCCAAGGAGTATTTAAAGCAGTTCTGGCAGCACATGTTGCTTTCTTACAGAGACACTTGATGCTGTTTTTTACTTTAATTTTCTTATCCCTCTTTGTAAGAAATTTGAGCAAATGTGCATTTGAGAGTTAACAAATTGAAGTTTCCATTTGTGAGGGCAGCAGAGGGTTGCTTCTCCTCACAGTCACCTTTTATAAAAGTTTCTCAAATATTTTGAGGGAGCTAAAGAAGCTGACATTACCGACAGGTTGGAGCCAGGAGGTTCTAACATAAATGCATCATGGATTAAGTGTGATTCAGTCATCAGCGTTCTTACAGTGACAGACTCTGTGTTCGTACATTGACAGTTCATTCTAGGCTGCTTCTCCATGTGACTCAGAACTGAATCAGACTGTGACAAATTGAAAATGACTCCAAAGTATAAATGAGTTTAAAGAAGGCCAAATATAGCATGTGTTTGCTCTACTGGCTAAATTGTTAAAGGAGAACTCTGATTTTTACCCGTTTATTTTTGAGAACTTTGGCCATCATTTATATCAATTACACGAGACACTGTAAATACCAATGTATTTAAATTGGAACATTGTTCTCAGATCAGATTATTACACTGAAGTCTGACAGGTAAAGAACAGAGGAGACAGGTGATCAAACGCGTTGTACACAATCCAATAGTGTCTAAAATGTTTTATTTGATGGACAAATCAAAAACAAGTGCATCAAATTCCCCAAATGAAGCATTCATTGTGCAGAAAACTATGTCCATCAACAAGTTGGAAAAAACTGAAACATGTTATCAGTTTATAAACCCTTACTGGATGCCAACAGCTGCAGTTGTAGGACCACACTTGTAGGACTGTTGTTTGTCACATCAGCGCCATCTGTCAAATTGGATGATCACTAAAATTTACGACTTACGGCTTTGAAGGCTTATTTTACCAAAAATACTACTTTCTGTACAAATACTTACAAATTGGAAAGGTTTATTCCCCCCAGAATACTACTTTCTTTACAAATAGTTGCTGTTTTAAAGGTTTATTCCACCTCATATACTACTTTCTCTGCAGGAACTTTTAGCTTTCTACTTTATTCCACCCAAATTGTACTTTTTATCTAACAAGTTGTGGTTGTAAAGGTTTATTTCACACACAATACTTGTTTCTGTTCAAGTGCTTACAGTTTTAAAGGTTTAATCCTCTGCAATAGTACTTGCCAGTGTCTGTAGACTTGAAAGACTCTTATTTTGCGCTAACATTGAGCCCGTCTTTAAAGTAAACAAGTGGTTACCATGTTAACTGGCCCAAAAAAGAGTTGATTAAAAAATAAGGTTCCTAGAATGCAGTCCTACAACTGCAGTCTTGAAAATGCAATCCATTCTGCTGCAGACACATGCTACTACCTGAGCCACAGCTGCCCCAATGTCGGTAACTAGACCCAAGTTGTAATGAACCAAAGTGTTCCTATAAGTTTCTGATTAATTTTTTTTATTTATTTATTTTTTTTACTTGGTGTACATTTTTCTCACAAACTGTCTCTTTGTTGCAGCGGACAGTGCTTCTCGTAGCTACTACAAGAGCTTCCCGCTCATGGACTTCTCCCACTACCAGCCTGTAGCGCCTCCTGCCTTCCAGCCCATTCATCCAAAAGAGAAGTCGTACATCCACCAACCCCTGCCAGCACACCACGACATCCACGCCCCCCTCGCGATCTCAATCCCTTCCAGCCACCTCGAGCACTCGCGCCTTCCCAAGACCACCACCCACCCCTTCCTCTCCAGCTCAGCCTTCAAAGCCTGGGAGCCAACCGGCCGCCACGTCCACAGGCAGACCTCGGCACCGGGACATACGTCCTCCTCTGTGCACAGCTCCGCCCGGAGACATGCCTACTCAGCCCGGAGGCAGCAGAGCATAGAGAACATGCCAGATCTTTTTAATCAACCCTATGGAGGGATGTATGGGGGAGCAGGGCAGGGACAGCATATGCAGGGGCAACATGTACCTCAACCTTATTACCACCACACCAGGCAGAAGAGCTACTCCACTCACAGTACAACTGAGGTGACCGTCTGAGCACCAACGCCTCAGAGAGAAGCCTGTCACAATCTTAAACAACGAAAAGCTTCGGTGTTAGCCAAATGCCAGAGTTTGGGACAGTTCGCCCAACATGTGAGGGATTAAACAAGGAGCCTCATTCAGATAAAAAGGGGTGTTTTCATAAGTGGAAACAGTGACATTCAGGAGCAGAACCACCACTCTCACAGATAATAGACTCAGCTGGCAAAGGTTATTATTAGTCTGTAGTAAAGGTCTCATACACAAAGTCCATAGACTCTACCTAAAGGATATCTTACAACCACTCTCAGGCTCCTATAGGTTGCATGATCTTCACAGATTCTCAGCCTCTACAGTTTTGCCACTACGGTGTGGTTTCAATGTGGTTGTACAGGCTTTAAACCAATTTACACCAACTCTTAGAGCAGGGAGCTTCATTTTGTCTGTGATCATGTTTTACATGTTGGCAGGAATAAACAGTGAGTTTGTGTTAGCGTAGTAATTCTGGATAAGAGTAGGTACAGCAGGTGATCAGTTCACATGGCTGCAAAATAGCAACCAGTCTCATGGGCAGTTTGGGTCGTTGAAAACATTCCACTATGAGCCTGAGACTGAAGAAAACCAGAGCCAGCTGGCCCTACTTTCTAACACTGTCAGTCCAAAGAGGCATTCAGTGCAAGCATGCAGCTATTTTGATGTAAATGTAGTTTGTAGCCTTCTCTGTGGTTCACCTACAGGAGTTACACCTCAGGAACCTTTCACTTAAATTTCGTGGAACAATGAAAATCTTTCATATTCACGGGGACCCATGTCGTTCTACACCGACCTGCTGCTCCCTCTAGTTTAAAGGAATAGATGAACATTTTAGGAGACGTGATTGTTTTATAGTTGGATGAGAAGATCGACACCACTCTCATATCTGCACGTTACAAACACAGCACCCAAAAAATAGTCAGTTAGCTTAGCAGCAGTGACAATAGGCAGATTCTGGAGAAGGTGCAACTTAGCGCAGACATTTACACTAATGGCTCCATAATAAGCCCTTTCAGCCTTTTTGGTTCCATTGCGGTGTAGGATCCATCTGACTCATGAGGCGATGTAATCATTTGTGACATCTTTAATTGCGGTGCCAATTCTGAGTACGCTAAACCAACAACAAATAGTAGTTACAGGATGTAGCTCCAATTTCATGAGCAACTAATAAAACATTAGAGGGAATTGGAAAGGTTCCTGCTTATTGTGTTAGCCTATAGACCTATATGGCAATTTTACATTGTTGATGATGATGGTAAAGAGGAGAAGACTGCTATTCGAAGAAGAAGCACAAAAAGTTGTATTTTTATAGTTTTCCCAGTGAGCTTCCCTGAGTTTCTTCCATAGTTGTTGGTCAAAACACGCACAAAGGTGTGGGCCCTAAGTCGACAACAGCAGTCTGGTTGTAATGACATGTCATTAAACCAGATATAGCTTGATTGTTGAGCTTTAGCGATCCCAGTTGATGAATGTTTTCCCCCTTTGGCCTCTGCTAAGCTTGCTATTTCCAAATGTTTTGTCTTTTGTTTGGTCATCCTGCTGCCTGCAAGAGCTTTATACTTTACTAAGAGACATTAGAGTGGCATCAATTTTCTCATCCATCTGTTTGCAATATTGGCACTGTAGCTTTGTTGCTACTGTACGTAGCAAACACATGTACATTAGCAAGCTGATTAGGGCTGAAATTTAATAGAAACTGAAACATTTATATATCCCAGTGATAAATACTGAAATACTAATCACCTCATGATGCGATTTTTGCATAAGCATGAAATCACAATACTTTTATTAAATGGCTTTGCAGTTTCAGTTGAGAAGTTTGGAATTCCTTCACAACAGTGGATCACGTGTTATTGCTCCCAAATTTAGAAGCCTGAAATATGAACACAAGGCTAAGTGTTTTTTGTTTTTTTTTAATTGTTACATTACTTGGTTACGGACAGTTTGTGGTGACGCAGAAATCCTAAAATCCAACAATCAAGGCCATTTTAAGCATGAAGTTATGCTTAAGTCCACATTACGGCAATTTTGTCATTCGCCCAAATCTGCGAGAGTCTACCTGGATCCCTTTGCAGCCCAAAATTTGTGTTCACAACAACACTACAAGGATAGTAGTGCACATGCTCAGCAGTAGTGTGTACGCGTGGAGTATATAGATTGCAGAATAGTAGAACAACTACACATCCACAGTGTCCACAGCGGTCTGTGTGTTCATCTGCAAATGAGTGTAGTCGAGAATTAAGGGTTTCAGGTGATTTTCCAGTTGGAACTAACTAACTGATGATATCAGAATATGAGTCGCTAATTTTTAACATTTTATTTCGATACATTGGACATTTCCCATTGTGATCTGTATATCACATCCATTTATTACTTATAAACCATCACAAAGTAACAGTTCAGGTCATCTCAAGGCCCCAGAAGCCTTTTTGTGCATTATTTTGTCAAGTTCCCTCCTGTTCTTCTTGTAAAAACACCTCTACTACTTTGCATCTCTCAGTCTACCTCCATGCACAGCTGTTCTCTCCTCGTTCCTTTCTCTCCCACCAGTTTTTCACAACGAAGCGCTTTGCATTCTTTGCCATCAGGCCAAGCATACAGGGACAGCATCCCCGGGGTCACATTAACTCCACGGTGAGGACAATGCCACCATCATGTCAGCCCCCATCAGCCTCCATCCCGACCAGAGAGAGGCAGAGGGGGGGAGACAGAGAGGGACAGAGAGCCAGAGGCTGGAACTCTTTAGAAAAGGAGAGAAAGGGAGGAGAGAGAAGAGAAAAATAGAAAAACAAACATACATCGCTGTGTGTTTTCCTTCCTTGAGGGAAAGAAAGGGAGGGAGTCAGTGTGGATCTGGTTCTCTCCGTATTGAACTGTCTGGGTCATCATAACTCAGTGTGTGTGGACGCCTGTATGCAATTTCTAACCCGCAGGCCCCATTGCAGGGGAACTCGCTGAGGCATTTCTAGGCCTGGAGCATTAAACATTTCTTATTTCATCTCTGAAGCCTGGACAGCAAAGGACACTGTGCAGAGCTGTTGCTACGAACGTGCAACAGTTGATGCCTCCACTGGACTTGTTGGTTTATTGATGAAACACCCTCAGGAACTGCACAACAAGTGAACTGTTAACAGTGGGTGCACATGTGTCCAGAAATGCTTCCATAAGGTTCTGTAATAATGTTTGTGCTGGAAGAGTTGAAGGGAAGTTATGTTTCATATTCTGTTAAGTGTGAAGTGCTTTTGATTCAGCTGAATTAAGTGTCGAGTTAAAAGATCAGTGGAGGTCAAACTGAGCTGAGAACAAACACGTTTTCATGAACAAGCCACACATAAGGACTGACCAAACTCCAAAACCCACATAAACAGTTTGTGTCTTTGTCTCCAACACCACAAAAATTCACCATAACTAACCAAATCAAATTCTAGTGTCTCACTTGGACTTGTTTCCACTCACATTGACATGATGTCACTGTCTCCAGCAGCAAGTTTTTTCTTTCCAGAAAAGGTTGGACACAACAACATTAGGTAAAATCTTCTGTTTGAGAGCCTCCTTCTCTCGTACACAGTCACACACACTCACAAGTGCATTAGCTTAGACTTTAAAGTCCTTTTTGGTCGCCCAAAATTATGCAGGATGGGTCTGATATCTCAAATGTCCTGCTTTCCTGTGAGACAACCCCTGAAGTCTGAGCTTCAGGCTCAGATCATTTTATATCTTTTATATAATGAAGTACAATATCTGAAAACAACAATGATCCTCAAGGCAACAAATTAGAACATTGTAATGTCAACATCTTCCCAGATACAGGATGTGTTACGAAGTAAGTCTGGAAAAGTGGTCACTACACGTCAGTAAACCTGCAGTAAGAACAAACAAGTGGACAAAAACCTGTCAGACTCTTGCCAAGCTGGTAAATTTCTTATTTATGCCTCCAGAAGATGAAGAGCCACATTCACATGACGCATGGGGCTGCACTGCTTCCCAGCAATGGATGTTTGATGGGTGTGCGACTAGCAGTGTTATGATTGGCAATTGACAAGCACTCTCCAACAGGAAACCGACAGGTTACACTCCCTGAAATCTGTGTAAACACTAGCTGCACTTAAATTGGACAAACACTTTCACTCCCGGGCTGTCTGCAGATTTCAAACTAACATGGCGGCTCATTTGGAAGCTTTCTCTTATATTACAAAAATAGTTAATCGAAAAGTGATTCTGAAAACATTTAGGGCGAGAAATAAGCCACGAGGTTGCTAATCTGTGTTTACTTTCAATCAACAACAATTACTTTAGGAGTTCAGAAGCAGCAAGTCACACTGGACACCTGTTTTTCCTTTAAACACACTGTGAATGCATTGCACAGCTGTTTACATACAGAAAAAGAGGAAGCGAGAAAATAACAGACCCTGTGGACAGAAGGCATAAAGGTCAAAATATGCTCCTGTGTTGGTGCTATGTAAAGTTTTGCAGACGCTTGTCTACCTGTTGTAACTGTCTTCTTCTACCTGGAAATGTAGGCTACTGTTGTTCATGTTTGTGCTGCTGTTGGTCCTACACAGAAGTTGTAGTGGACAAAGAACTTGTTTGTAGTGGAATAAAACCGAGTGTTATGTTGTGACATGTAATGCACCAACACTGGAGAAGATTCCTAGCAGACCTGTCGTATCTGCCGCCAGACGCAGTGTTTACATGAACTCTGCTGTGGTCGTTCCTTTTCTGGTTTTATGCCAACTTTTCATCCAAGCAGCGTTCAACCTATGCATGGCGCCTTCACTCAGGGCGCTGTTCATTTGTTGGACGACTGAATGCAAGTGTGTGTCCATAGGCTCTGTGTTGATTGCATCCCCATCGTCCTTCATTTTTTTGTAGGCAGGAAGTTACTTAAACAGAATCAATGCTTCATTGTAAATCGATTTTAACAGTCTCATATTGAACCTCAATGAACCATACACTGAACCAAACGGTGTCAAATCAAAGCAGTATCTTAACAGTTTGTTCTATAGACTCATTTACCAACACACAAACAGACGGATACGTTACAGGCAGTTATGATAGCTGACACATTAATTACTGACTTTAAGAGCACTGTGACTCGTCTCTCTTGAACATGTGCATCATGTCTGTAATTACTTACTGTTTCTCATTACAATGCAGCAAAGGATCCTGGGTAGGCATCCTTTCCTCTTAATGCTTAATGTTGTGAATTAAACATGTTGAGCTCAGCTGGTTTAGAGACACAGAAAGAATTTTTTGTAAGCAATAGTTCTTTAGTTCCTCGCAGTGAACAAATGCTTCCAGTGTTTTTCTTGGTATAAAGTCATGCATTTTTCTCCGAAACCCCCTCTGGTCTTTGTAGCAGAAACAAAACTACTTTTCTCATCTATTTATGATACATCTTTAAGATCTTGTGTACATTATTATTAATTTTTTTAAGCACATCCTTTTTTTTCTATTATTTAAGTAGTGCAAATACATTGTGAAAATCATTTATTTATAAATAGCGTGTAAATATGTTTATTTAATTGAATTCCTTATATATTTTATTTAAATAAGGGCTGTATGAACCGAGTCATTTTAAGAGTACTTACTATATTTGCTGTCAGATTTTAACAGATTATATTATTTAATGTTAATGAAAGATGCAGAGAGAATCTGTGTTAGCTGAGTTGTGCAATAGAGAAGTTTAAAGTCGGCCTACTGTCTTGTATGTCACTTTATCAAAGTGGGTTTTCACATCGGTGGCAAAACACAGAGACACAAATGAATTCTAGTGTAGGACAAAGCAGTTGTAAAGCAGACAGGTTGTCTAAACCATTAATAGGGTTTCTGCTGTGTAGTTACACAATACTGACTGATATACGGGACGCTGTGCAAAGGCAGTAGAGCAGAGTGTGAGCTAGATTTGCGGTGAAACATTTGTGAGCGTGTTTAAAACTGGAGAGATTTAGTGCTGTGTGAAGATACTGAGCTGTTTGACTGCAGTGGAAATTATTTCTTTGCACCAACTGAAAGGCGGAGTTTGCACCACTGTGAAGTACTGCAGGTTAACGGAATATATAAGAGAAAGGAGCTATGATAAATGTATAAATGCAAATATGATCTAAAGCGTATTAGTGTTAAATACAGTATGGAGCAAAAATGTCTATATACTGTATGTACATGTACTTCTTACTACAACAAAACAACTACTTTATACCCAAAATGTTGCAGAGATGTTCTTTACAAACGATTGTTTAGTAACTGATGCCACTTTTGAAGATGAAATATTAAAGATTGTAAAATTAATTTAAGGCTCGAGTTTGATTTGTATTCACATCAAAGAGATGTTGGACTGTTGATTCTGTGGGGGGAAATCACAACAACAAACAGCAAACACAATAACTGGATCTTCTAAAATTAAACACACTGAACGGACAAAGCTTGCGAAATCTAAATGACAACAGTCGGCAGTTGGATCGAGTTACTTTCGCCACCCAAATATCATAGTCAATATGGATTTATTATTTAGAATGATGTAACCCAGTTGACCCACTTTTGTTTGTGTTGTCAGTGAGAGGAACAAAAGCCGCTGTAATAATCGACAGTTATAATGGACAGAGCTGGAAGAGGAAATCAGATCCTTTACTTCAGTAAAAGTGTCAGTACAGCAAAATAAAATGATGCTATTACAATGAAAACTCCTACTTCAGGAAAGTACATAGGTATTAACAGTACAATGTGAGAATGTTGTCAAAATATTAAAGTGAGAGTTCTGGTTCGGTCCCTCTGACTGATAAATAATCATACATTGTATTTATTTATCTGTGTAGATAAGAGGAAAAACATCTTCAAGAACCAAAAAGAGAAGCCCAGTTGCTTTTGACTGAAGCTCTAATGATTATATATGGCATCATTAGACTATTAATAGTGAAGCATCAGTGTGTTGGCAGCGCGTTACTGCGGTAGCTGCTGCAGGTGGAGCTGGTTTAACGACTTTACAAACAGTATTATATGCAGTGACAGCAGATAAATCTGAAGTCTTGTGATGAATGGGCAGAAGAAATAAGGAAAACAAAGTTCAGATATAAAAATGTGTTTTTGGTTTTGGATTTTTTTCTAATCTTTGATTTTGGTGAGATAATTTGTGGATTATTTAAACATTTATTGAAACCATGTAAGACATTTAGAGTGGTTTGGTGGAGCTATTAACATGTCATTTAGTCATTTTAAATGTGACTCGATTACACACTACTTTTTATGAGAAGCGATAAAGGTTGGAAACCGCAGGTTCATCTTTAGGTTTGTTATATCATCTGTTGTTTAAAATCTTAATTGTAAAAGTGAATAAAACTGTCAGATAGTAGTAGTAGAAAGTACAATATTTCCCTCTTAAACGTACTGAAGTGAAAGCGTAAAGTAGGATAAAATGAAAATATTCTAAGTAACTCATAATTGTAATTAAGTAGAGTAGTGTCTGAGTTAATGTCCTTAGCAGAGAGGAGATTCATTGAGCACAGATGCTGTTTCTCTGTCGGCCACAGAGCAGCTCCTCTTGCAACAGTTGAAGAAAGAAGCCGCTACAATCAGCGACAGTCTAGTTACAGAACAACTGCAACATTTTCCCACCTGGTTACACCCAGTAACCACTAATTTCCCTATCTATTTTAGAAATGTAAACATCTTCAGGATTCACATGTTGCCATGGCATGACACACACTAGCTGAAACCCCTGTCCTGATCCTGTAGTGTGGCCTTGTGGCTGTCCTCGGTACTACATAAACCCAAACTATCTGTAATATGGTGTCCTAAAACCTTCAACTACCGAATCTCCTCCTATGAAACAACTCATTAACAAAAATCCACTCCTTGAGAACGACAGAAAACAATTCACAGAAAAATTGTTTTAATAAAGGATATTTTAATGTTAGGACTTGAGTCAAGTTTTAAATGTCACACATTTAACAAAGTGCAGAGTGTAAATTTATTACTTTTACAACCAATTACATTATTAATTTGAAGACGAATGTTAGTCTAAACAATGTGTGACTCACTGCAAGTCAGCAAACACATTTTTTATTTGTAGAGCACACATTTTCCCAACAGTTTAATGTGTAAGAATTGTATTAATTCAGAATAAATATCAAAACTTTTAAGGCCTTGTGCATTTACTTGCAAAATTAAATTCCTTATTTTAATGTTGAATGACAACAGGTAAACAATATTCAAAATAACAATTCATAATCCCAAAGAAGCTATTCAGAGGATAAACTCACTTGAATTTTGTCCTGAAATCTGAATAAACTCAGAGCAAAGACACTCATGGCATCAACAGTATGTTTTTCCTGACTACACAATAATGGAGGTAAGTTGCTGTTGGCATAACAATCTCAGTACATATCATTTACAATGCCTGGCTTAGTCATGTAAATAGAAACTTTACAAATTCTTCAGTATTCCATGCTATCAGACATACATTGAGGCTGTAACAGTTTGTCTTTGTGAAGTGAGCTAACTCTACAACATTGTAGATGAAGCAAATCAAAGATGGAAAATGCTGATGGGTCCAGTCTTTAAAAAAACACAACCCTATGCTCTGTGGTCATCAGATGTTTTGAATGAAACAAGCGACTTAGAGGTTAGACGTTAAATACAGCGGCTCAGGTTTGGTCAAACTGTAGTTTCTGAAACACTAAATACAACAACAAGCCAGTAATTCTATCTGACTCTGGTCCTGTCGGTGGAGTGAAGTCTCGTCATAGTGACCAAAGAAATACTAAAAAGAAGTCAGAATACAATATGGCAAGTAAATAAAATAATTACTAAATTGCCAAGTAGAACAATTCAGCAAGTATGAACAAAACCAAGACAGCTTTTATTCAGTTCCTTGAGAAAGAAACTGGATTGCTGTAGTTGTGGGTCATAAGATCAGGTTTTTGGTCTTGTACGGTCAAATAAAATGCAATTTAGTACAAAATGTGGCCACTGATCAAGGAACAAGTGACAAACTTTGGTACTATATTCAGATGCAGATTTGGGACTTTGGCCAAAAAAAAAAAAAGATAAAACACAAGAGGACACCTTGTTTGCTGGTATATGGTCTATGACTATGTGTATTTTGATGCAGATCTGGATAAAAATTATACCAATGTAACACATTTACACTTCAAATATGTATAATTTACCTAAACTCCATGTGAAGTGTTAAAAATTTGACCAACAGTCTACAAGAAGATGAGGAGAAACTCACCAATCAGAAGCTCTGATATGCACGATAACGAAAAAAGGTCAATGACTTCAAGAAGGTGAGGTGATGAGTTAAAACGTGACATCCTTTTAGAGGCATTAAACTCCACTCTCCACTGTCATGATTTGGTAATAGAAAGGGTAAAAAGGCCAACATTGGTAAGAGCGTAAGGCGAAAGCATGATAAGCTTAGTCAGACTTTGCTTGTTTGGTGCTGGTACGGTAAAAGCTGGCTGTACACCAAGAACTGGAAATTACAAGTTCTGACAATAAAATCATGTCATCCTTCTTAACATGTTAACATTTCAGGCATCTGAAAATCTTTCTGTCTTGATTCTGTACACGTCAAATTATTTCTGGACTAGTCAACTGATTTTAATACACTTCCTGACAGACTTCCATAATGAAGCATCTTAGTGGCTACGTATGTTTAAAAAGCCTCTCAAAAGTACTAGTGCATGAGAGGATAAATTTAAAACACAAATCCAGAGGATATATATAATGGATTGGCTAAACCAGGGGAAGTAATCTCATCAGCAAAGTAATCTTCATGAACAAAACAAACCTCGAGCTAAATCCGATTTATCGTATATAATAGAAATCTCTTTGTATGCTCCTGGCCACAGTGGCTGATACACCTTATAACCCCACATATGTAGAATACACAGAAACAGAGCCTGAAACTGAATAGAGGAGAGTTTCCCAGTGAAGAAGCTGTTAATGTGGACTGGTAGCAGAGATCAACCTGTCAGCCACTGGCACAGAAGTTATCAAGTATTTTCTCTTCCTCTTCAATATGCAAAATTCTGTCTATCGCTGTCCAGTTATGTTGTTGCCTCCTGGGTTTATGACGACGGAGTCCAGTAGGGGACGGAGAGCCTGGCCAAACGGCCTACAGAGGAAACACAGAGGGCAGTACAGTTACTCTGAAATCAAAAGGGCCAAAGAAAAGGCTAAACAGATTACTGTATGGGAGCTGGGCAAACAAAAACACATTGAGTACAATAAGACTTAAGTCATTCAATAGAGAATAAAGCCCCTTTCACACATGCACTTCTTTCTGTTAATCTGAGGGCATGCAAACGTGTTGGCTTCATGTCTAAGTAACACTCAGCTCACTTTTATGTAAAAATTGCAACAGCAATCTTACTAGGAGGGTCTTTATCACTTTCAACACAGCACAAGTCTGACCCACATGCAGTTGTGTTAATGGACAGGCACTGACAACTAATGCAGTCAAAGAGAAACAGGAAGAAAGCTGTCCAGGTGACTTCTACTGCCCCTGTGGTAGTGTTATTATGTCCTGCCATTAGTTTAAACTGAGTCTTTTTTTACTCGTGTATCTTCATGTATTATACATCAGTTGACCTACAGTTCAATCTCGTAAGAATGACAAATATCGTACATATACCACGGCTGTCTTGGTCACTGTGGTGGTCTGTGTCTGAATGGCAGAATGTCTTCATTTTAAAGCCACAAATTGATGCATAAAAAGGATTTAAGACATATACACTGACAATGGGACAAATGAGAAATAGACAGTGTGTGACAAACTGTCACAAAAGATAATATTTTAAAATCCTTTTACTACTGCCACATTTTTTTGTAAAATTACTAAGTGATGAATGTTGCAATGAATATAAATTAGTTTTTTTTTAAAAAAACATAGGGATCCACCATCACACAAGAGAAGACATCAGTCTGCGATGTGCAGCACATCCTGGGTTTTATTTGGGGTCGATGTTGATGCATTTTCTATTTTCCTACAGCTACGTTTTCGACTTGCCCCTTACCTTTAACATTTATGGTGGTTAATGTAACATTATATTGCATTACTGTGTACAGTACATATATATAACTAATTTCACTTCCATTTTTTTTCCAACCTAGACTCACACATTACTAATTTATTGAGTTTTAGTATTGTGACAGCTTCAGCACGAGCAGAGATGCTGATTTACTACAAACATAGAGAATAAGGAAAAGAGAAAAGAAGGGACGCTTTGCTAGTGCAAGAGCAGCTTTAAAACACTTATTAAACTGAGCTGACTCACGTGGACAGAACTTCAGATGGAAGGTCTGTAATGTACGATGGGATCTTTTTGCCAGTAAGGAACTGAGCCACCTCGTTGCTGAAACTGTTGCAGTTGTGCTCAAACAAGTTGTACTTGTCACCACTGAGAACCATGAGAAGAGAAAGAGAGAGATTAGACATAATATCAGACGAGAGAGAGAGAGCAAACGGGGAGGTGAAGGGCGGGTGAGGAGCAGGAAAAAACAAGATAGAGACATTCTGACGGTGAGATAACAGGGAGAACGGAGGTACTTCTAAGGTGTAGTTCATCTCTTTGCTTTCTGTGTCCTTATTTCCTCACATCTCTTCTGCAAATTGAAGCTAATATGTCAGAAAATCCAGACAGTATTTAAACTATTTCTAACATAAAATAATAAGATGCATCCCCCACCAACTTCCCTGCTTTGGATGAAAAGCTACTTGTCTGGCAGAAGATGGGATTTATTATAATGTCTTTCTCTCTGACAGCTGTGACATATGCACGAACTGTCTGATGAGGAGGAGCTTTTACCTGTAGGTGGACTCGGCCAGTGACATTAAATACTCCATAAATAACTCTGCAGGGACCTCAGTGAAGCCCATGTCCACAACAGAGTCAGGCTCGCCCAAAGGAGTGCCACCCTAGGAACACAAACACACCTGAGTGGATGCCTTGCTCCAAACACTAATGAAAGTATCTTGATCCATTACTTTTTAATGTACAGCACTAAATGGGATAAAGTGTAATGTTTATGTTCTGTGTGTTTAACCCTATTCAGGACTTTCATGTTGCCATACATCCATTGGACCCCAAGAAAGAACATGTGAAAAATTTTGTTGGTATTCATTATAGACTTTTATACTATGTTAAATACATTTTCTGATAAGTTGACATATTTTTGGTTCCAAATGCATGACAACGTCCCTCTTTTTATATTAAAATAAAAAAATCTTCAAAAATTAAAAAACAATACCTGTCACCGAAACCAAATGGCCTGGGGTCCAAAAGACCCCAAAAGTCCTGAATAAGGTTAAGGTAAAATAACAGAACTGATTCTTACAGGTGGACAATCGTTGATGCCTTCTCCAACAAAGAAGTACTCCTTTCCGTGGACCACGATGGCTGTGTGCCTGTAAAACACATTTTTTTCAGTAAAACCAAAGGCAGTGAAGGAAGTTAACCACAGTTCCCAAACAAAATAATCCAATAAAGAAGTACACTCACCATATACCATCAAGCTGTTTCCCTGTAAAGAGGTAATAAACAGATTTCAGTTGGTATTAACTTATTCCAGTCTTAGCTATGTGTCAGGTAGCTTATCAAGGTAGAAAAACACAGTCATAGCTGTCTGCAGCATCGTCCCCGCCACCTCCTGGTTCCTCTTGCGGCCCTGGGCGCACTGACTGCGGCTCTTCAGAAACTCACCAAGCATGACGGGGCTCAGCTGGCGGGCCATGCCTCTGGACAGGTCGTAGATGTACAGTTTCACCGGATAAGAGCCAGCTTGGTCCATGCTGACACGAAAGAACTTCCTTAGCTAACCTGGTGTAAAGTTCCGTGACTGGATAGCTAGCTTACCGGTAGCTATAGCAAACAAAAGTTAAAATAAAAAACTTTTAGTGAAACTTCTACAAATATACGCACAGGCTACAGACTGTTTAAATGACAAGTAGTAAATAAAGTAGTAAATGTAAAGGTAGCCCGAGATTGCCGGGTGCTGACAGCGGGTGCTGTGTCACCGTCTGACTGTAAATAATAACATGACTGTCAAAAAAAGTGCTTTAGCGTGAGAACCCTTCTTCCGGCCTTTCCGCAAACAGTCCCGCCTACTTCCGTTTCATTGGTTGGTATCTTGGCCTGGCAGTTGAACCCCCAATAGGAGGCGAGCCGTCCAATAGGCGTTTTCAGCGTGCGCGTTCACGTACCTGAACGCGCCACTCATTGAAACTAGCCCGGACTTGTGGGCAGAAAGCAGCAGAGCTTGGTAAGCGATTCCAACCACCACTTAGCTTGTGTTTAGTAAGTTGTTTTTAAGTGTATTATATATTATTTGGGTGCTTTATTAGAAAGATAAAGTAGTTCCTTTAGCGATCCGTAAATAAATACCGATGAAGTGAGCTAACAAGTTGCTAATTACAGGCTAAGCTAGCTAACGTTATTGTTCTTGGCTAAAGTTGATACTTGATATAATTAAACATTAATAGGGCCATAATGACTACATTACTACAGTTTTTGCAGGGCTTTTGCTGTGCTTTGCACACCATTACCCTCTGACTAAGTGAGCGCCACACTTCTGTTTGTGTAAGTACGTGTTTAGTGAAAGTTTGGAGGGGCGAAGTTAGTAAATCAAAGAGAAGTGAGATGCGTCGGGAGAGGCCTCCTGACAAAATTATGTTGTTTGAATCCAGTTTAAGTGTTGCTGTACTAGAGAGTTTAAATATAAAGTGCTGCAACAGTATTGAGAGGTTCCTATTATAACTGCAGAGTCCTGTGACAGAAGCAGCAGCAGCACTAATGGCGGAGTGGAACACCTACTACCGCAACGAGGACGAGGATGAGGAGCAGGAGGAAGGGGAGCAGTCCGGAGGTGACATGAAAACTCTCTTCTTATTATTATTATTTTTTATTTTTATTTTTTTAATCAGTGTAATTTTGTCACCTATTATCTCTCACTCTGATTTGATCAGTATTTGTGTGAACCCTTGAATCGCACCAAAACAAACCAGGTCTTTGTCTTTGATAGGAGATTACAGAATCACTGGAAGAGACAGTTTGGTGTTTTTGGTTGATGCCTCCAAGGAAATGTTCATCAAAGGGGAGGATGGAGAGCCCTCCAACTTTGACATGACCATGCAGGTAAGATCCCCAGTTCTCCATCTCTTTTGCTGTTAGTTGCTATTAGTTGTTTGTCTCCTTTGCTTTGTCTTTGTGTTCCAGCTAGGGATTGACCGATTATCACTATTATAAATAAGTAAATAATTTCAAACACACAGTATTTTGTCTCTATCATAACCAACTCTCTCTGTGTCTGTAGTCACCAATCTATGAACTTGAGTAATGTGTCGCCCACAGTAATATCTGTTTAATGACATGTCATAAGTAGTAGCCTATCAACAGGATAAATAAATGTAACTTTTATTTAAGAAAGTTTTATTTAAGCAAGTGTAAATTGTAAATAAACAGAGGCCTTTCAAAAAAGTTTGTGCTGGAGTTTGTCCAAATTTTTAGCCCAAATGTAAATCAGTTTAAAATATTGTTTATCGTCTACTTTATTATGACTAATCAGTATCCATATTAGTATAGGTGCTAAAAATAAAAGGTCATTGTTTGATCCAAAGTAACAGCTATTCTTGTAACAACTGGAAATGTTTGGATATCCAGATTGTAACGTGTTTGGGAATTGCAAGAAATGTGCTGGAAGTTTCGTGGATATTATGTGTAGGTTGAGACAATACATTTGAAGAAAGGCACTTTTAAGCATAAATCACCCAGATTTTCTGACAGAAATCGCATGAGAAAAGTGAAGCTTATGTGCTGCGTACCACTTTATTGCTCTCAGAAACATCTTCCTTCATTTAGCAGTCTTACAACAACACGAGCTTGTGTGCTGTTCCTTCAGGTTGTGCGCAGCGTTTACATGAGTAAGATCATCAGCAGCCACAGAGACCTGGTAGCTCTGGTTTTCTACGGCACAGAGCAGAGCAAAAACCCCAGGAACTCATTCAAACATGTGTACGTGTACCATGACCTCGATGAGCCCGGTAAGATGCAGCACTTGTCAAACTAAACTTCATCTATAATTCTACTGTTTTGCTGCAAATGTGGGAAGAGTTCTTGTGCATAGCTTTCATGCCTCAGATTTGTTCAAATAAAGCATTTTCAACTTTTTAAGTAGCTATTATATGTTAATTAGGAAAAGCATACGAGCACTTCCTGTGCAAAGTTGCAGCAACATACTTTTTTTTTTCAAATAAACACGTGTATGTGGAAAAAAATCTTGACTGGCGACTCTTTAAGCTTTCCTGCACTGATGTAGCTCTATCTTTCTTTCTCGGTATTTCTCAATCAGTAAACTACCTATTTACATCCCTATCTGTCTGTTCTGTTATTTTGCACAGGTGCTAAGCGAGTTCAGGATGTCGATGCTCTGCGGGGGGAAAAAGGTGCCCAGCTGGCAGCAGAGACTATGGGCAGTGGAGCGACATCATTAGGTGACGCCTTGTGGTGCTGCGCAAACCTCTACAGTGACATCAAACTTCGCCTCTCGCACAAGCGCCTCATGATTTTCACCTGCAGAGATGGACCACACGGGGGCGACAGTGTAAAGGACCGACAGGCTCGCACTAAGGCCGGTGATCTCAAGGAGACTGGTGGGTCTGAATCAAAGGCTGCTGCTTCTTTTATAAACACCTGTTAGATTGCTCTAGCCTGTAAAGCTGTTTTAGCAGGTTTAAGCCTCTGTCACATTTTTACTCGCTGTGGGCTCATTTTTATCCGCAATATAAACTCTGTACTTCTATGGAAACAGTACCACCATTTGTATTTTAATGCTATAATTCATAGGAAAAAAGATAAAGTTGTATTTCTTTGATTATTTATTGTACAAAAAATGAAAAATCTGGTTAGAGCAAACAGCTTATAATTGGAAAATGTTTAAATGAAACATATAGGATGAAGTGCTTTTGATGAGATGTCAAGATTATAAGCTTAGATTTGGTTACGTTTCCAGACCAAACAGCACTTGACAGATTAGTAGGTTAAGAAAAGTTTAAAATGGGGCAATTCTTTCTGTTTTTACAGTTTCTGGAAGTGGTAAATAGTGTCTTTTTGGCCGTTTTGTTACAACAACAGGGCTTTCAAACCCGTTGGTGGGTTTTGGGGTTCAGAGGGTTAATTTCATCAATACAGTCAGCCTTTAAAATTTCTGACTTTTCTATGACTGTAGCACACGCTTCAGTTTTAAGATATTTTATTGCAGTGTGATGGTTTGTTGTGATAGATTTGGCTCCATGTAAGCTCTTCTGACTCATTGCTCCTCTCTTAGGTGTTGTTATTGATTTAATGCACCTGATGAAACCGGGCGGCTTCGATGTCTCGCTCTTCTTTTGTGACATTATAAGTCCACCGGGCGATGATGGTGAGCTGGGGCTGCAAGTGGAGCCTTGTGAAAAACTGGAGGACCTCCAGAAACGGGTCCGGGCGAAGGAGCAGAAGAAGCGAGCCATGGCAAGGTGGAGATATTATCAGTTATTCTTTGTGTTCCTTTTTTTTATATAGCCTAACTCTTTTTTTGTCTTATATTTATTGCTCTATATTCTGTTGTTGTTTTTTTCTGCCTTTTGCGGTTTTCTCACCTGTTCTTCACACCACTCCTCCCTTCCTGTAGGTTGAACTTGTGTCTTGGTGAGGGCTTAAATTTGGCCGTGGGAATTTATGCAACTGCTGTGACGGCTCGGAAACCAGGCGCCATCAAACTTTACAGGGAAACCAATGAGCCGGTCCGCAGCAAAACTCGCACCTTCCACACCCAGACTGGTAGTCTGCTGCTGCCCAGTGAGATAAAGAAAGCCCAGGTAAAAGCAGACTTAATGAAGTTGGTTGTTTTAAAGATCCCCTTTGGATAAAAAAAATCTATTTTTTTGTGAACATGTCCATGTGGAGTTTTTTGTTGTTGTTGTTGTTGTTTTTTTAAATATATATGTATATATATATCTACTCAAAAACATACTGTAAGTAAAATAAGCAGTCAACTCCATGGCTGAGTATTTCCACATTAAAATTACGTCAAACTGAAGTCTTCCAGGCCTTTATATGTTACAATCCTGAGCAACAAAATCAATTTCTCTCATTGTTCCGAATCATTCTTCTTCTTCAGAATCAGTTTCTGGCTCAAACATGCATGACTGAATTACTCCAATATTAAAACTTGCTATTGTGTAGCATAGAGTAGTTTTACAGTGACTCAGCGTAGTTTAAGGTGAACTGGTGAACTGGAGCAACGAATGTGGAGTAAGAAACAGGGATTTCATAGATCTGCACATACGAAAGGAATCAGCTGTGTTAAATCTAAAATATTTGAGTGTAGGAAGGGATTATTTTCATGAAAATATGTAGCTTAGAGGCACCAAGATAAGTTTTTGGTAGTTTAACGACTTTGCATGTGTTTCAACACTGATTTAAATTGCACATTTAAAAACTTCACTTTGTCTGTATGTGTGTGTTGTAGGTGTATGGTAATAAACAGATAGTGATGGAGAGGGACGAGGTGGACGCCATCAAGAAGTTCGACGACCCTGGACTGTTTCTGATTGGATTCAAACCTATGGAGAAGCTCAAACTGCATCACCATATCCGACCTGCTGTCTTCCTCTATCCTGAGGAGGAACAGGTGAAAGGTACGACTGTGTGAAATACCAAATGCATTTGAAACAACGACCATGTTAAGTTATATTTCTTGCACAGCTACAGTCAAAGTTGATCCTCTTTCTGTGCTGAATACATCTTGTATTTTTTTGTTTTTTGTTTTTCTCATCAGGTAGTGCATGTCTGTTTTCTGCCCTGTTGAAGAAGTGCAGCGAGAGGAACGTGTTTGCTCTGTGTCGTTGCATCGCCCGCCGAAACTACCCGCCTCGATTTGTTGCTTTGGTGCCTCAGCATGAGGAGGTTGACGAGGGGAACGCACAGATTAAACCACCAGGTCAGGAGGAGTTTCACTGGGATGCCTAAGAATGCTAGACAAAACTCTTTTAAGGCAACTGTTTGGCTTATCTCAGTTATCAGTTTATTGTGATATGCTAGACAGGCAAATACATACTTATACAAAAAGTTCCAAGACTGGTATCACAAAAGATATATGTCATGTTGATCACATTCTTCGATGTGAGGGGCGTCATTCGGTGCGAGTTCTTGCCACAGGGCCAGACGATCAACCAGCTCGTCTACAAAGAGATCCTGTGGCGTTTGCTTCGTTCAGTGCGCGAGAAGAGTTGAGAGTCATGGCAGGACAAGTGGTGGCTGCTTCACCATGACAACGCACCTGCTCACAATACCCTGAGCATCCCACAGTTCCTGGCTGAGAAGAACATCACCGAGCTGGAGCAACCTCCCTACTCACCCCACCTGGCTCCGTGGGATTTGTTACTCTTCCCCAAGCTCAAGGGGGTCATCAAGGAGACCAGTTTTGAAGATGTGGACGACATCAAGATGGCTGTGACGACGGAGCTGTGGAGGATCCCAGAAGAATCCGTCCAGGAGTGCATGGCGGCGTGGCAGAGAAGGCTGGGGAAGAGTGTTAGACTCCAGGAGGATTACTTGGAAGAGGAAAACTTTGTAGTTTGGATTTGAAATGTATCTTTTGTGACACCAGTCCTGGAAATTTTCTGACACACCTTGTAACTAAAGAATTAAGGTAATTGTTACTGTAGCGTAATGGAAGTTTGTCTTCTCTTGCTTTGATCAGGTTTCAATGTTATTTACCTGCCATATGCTGATGACCTGCGGACTCTGGATGTTCCTCACTGCCCAGCAGCCTCACAAATACAGGTGGACAAGATGAAGGAGATCGTCTCCAAGCTCCGCTTCAAATACAGGTCCATTAAGAGGCACTGAAAAGTGTCTTTTTTTTTTTCTTTTTGAAAAACTAGAGTAATCCTGTAACCCCAGGGATAGAAATTAGGCAGATTTAAAACGTGACAACTTTTTTGCTGAATATGAAAATTAACTGACTCAATTAATCACCGTTGTCAATGACGTAGCATCAAAATTAATATTTTTAACTGATGCAAGGTTTTTTATTGTGTGCAGTGGCAGCCCTACTAGTTCTAACAAGGTCCTTTGGTTAATTTCTTTTCGTAAAATGTTTTCATTCCTTGTAATGTAATTCAGGGGTGATGCGTTTGAGAACCCAGTCATCCAGCAGCACTACAGGAACCTGGAGGCCCTCGCTCTGGATATGATGGCTCCAGAAGACATAGAAGACCTCATCAGTAAGACTGAAACAGAATCCTGGTTACTTTGGTGGCATAAACATTGCTTATATCTTCATCTCACACTATTTTTTTTTGTCTGTGTCTCTTCTTCTCTGCCTCAGTGCCAAAGGTGAACCAGATGGATGGCCGTCTGGGTCCTTTAGTCGACGAGTTTAAGGATCTAGTTTACCCTGAGAACTACAATCCAGAGAGCAAACCAGCTGCCAAACGCAAAACAGGTCAGAACTGGAGCCATTATTATTTCCAGTTACACCTCAAGGTAGTGTGGTCATTTTGATGTATGGCACATTATAACCGAATCATTCTTTTGATTCCATGAATGAACTTGCAGCTGATGCTGGAGGCGGAGCTGAGAAGAAGCCCAAAGTGGAGGTGACAGAAGGCGAGCTGAAGGCCCACGTGCAGAATGGCACTCTGGGAAAGCTGACCGTGCCCGTACTGAAGGAGGCCTGTAAGCAGTTTGGGATTCGGACCACTGGAACCAAGAAGCAGGAGCTGATAGATGCTCTGACTGAACAACTGGGCTCATGAGGAGCTGATATTCAACCCACTCTTTAGCTGCTTTGAATAAATGAAAGTTGTAATCTTTTTGAATAGCAAGTACCCAGTGCTCGTTTGAGAGTCTTGTTATTGTTTTACACTCACTATGCGGCTATGAATTATGACATTATCAAGGCGCTATGTTCAGTGTGCAACTAAAAAATTCTGGGTTGGTGAGACTCGGTGAAAGTACACATTTCCATACATTTTTGAATGTAAATGTTTTTTTCTTCTTGTGAACAAGACCTCTCAAACTGGTTCATGTACGTCACAAGATTCTAAAGAAGTCCAAAGGCATTGAAAACATGGTTGTAAAAATCGTATAACTTGTGATTACATTTGCTGATAATGCTGCATTTGCATATAATAAAACTTTTTATAGCCATTCATGTAATATGTTTTATTCTCATAACTGCATTTATTTGTACATTGAACATGTGAAGCAACATTTCCAGTTCTTCCTGTAGCGAGGAAAAAAGGTGTGTCCTTCCAAACTAAGAGCTCAACATAATCAGCATACCTAGACTTTTCACTCCATTGTTTTGCCATACAGCCCAATAAAACTGCAGCAGTGTTCCTGCTGAGGGCAGGCCTGTGCAGGCCAACGCTTCTGCGCAACAGCAGGAAGAAGGAACTCATACAACTTTGACCAAACGTGAGTTGCGTCAGGCTTTTGGCAGAGTGAGAGTAGATGGCCTTCCTGGACAAGGTTTATCAGAATACACACCAGGTAATTCCTTTTTAAAAACATTTTGTCATTGATAAAGCTTAACGAGAAATGGACTTAAGAACATTATGTAGTATGTATATGATTTTCCTGATTTGGTTCACCCTCTCTTGAATTTTGTCTAAATATTTATAATACACAACTGAATGTTTTATATATATACATATATATATATATCCTGATTGTATTCCTAGCTTTAAAGGGAGACTTTGCATGATGACATTGCAAAACATTTGTCAGTGTTACTTTGACCTTTTAGATCTTTTGATTTGAAAGTTTTGAACAGAAGCGGTGTTGCCTATGCTTGTTACCTTGACATCAGCTGAAAGTCGGACAACTACAGAGAAATGGAGTGTCAGTGTGAAAACTACAACTCGGAGAATGCTGCTTCAGGTGAGAAAGAAACTTCAAACTGTACCAGCTTTATCTTTAGTGAAGAAAGATGCAGTTAATGAGTATTTCTTTGATTTTAACTTCCAATGTATGAAAAGACAACTGAAACAGAGACTTCACGAGATGCTCGTTACTCTCTTAATGGTTGTTTTTTTAGTGGCATATTGTAATATTGTGTCTTTATGTAAAAGACAAGCTATTTTTAAATTCCTGAAGTGCTACATGTGGGCTGTGCGGTATCTATTGTGTCAAGTTAGCAGGCAATTCTTTGACTTCCACATGCATTTTCAAAATAAATGTAAGCATTCTCAAACTTCTTACCTTCCAGACAGTTTGAGAAAATTTGTTGTTGTTGTTGTTTTAATTGCATCGTTTGTAATGCAGCTTGGGGATGTTTTATGTGGTTTTGTTGATTTATCAAGTTTAAACCAAGCAGCAGATGTAAACAGCCACATTTAAAAAGGTGCTAAAATTGTCTGCTCTCAAAATAAATCCTTAATTATGATGTCAATTGTGACATAATAAAGGGTAAAATGGAAGAATTAACTTTAAAAAGTACACCTCGGCATGCCTGCAGGCCTCAGCACAAACACAAAGCTCAACAGTGTTTTCTTGAGTATTTCATTCATTCACGCATTTCATATTTGGGTGAAAGGTAAAACCCATGATAAGTTCTGAACCGCACTGCATACTAATGTCCTGTTTTTCTCCCTCCCTCCCCTCTCTGTTTAGCCGGATGGCTGGGCGGCAACAGTGTCCAGATGGGAGCTTTTACTGTGGTGGGGTATCTTCTCTACAGGTTTTCACAAAGTCAGTCACTCAGCAACACCTTCACTCAAATGTATTCATACCCTTCCATTAAAGAAAAGGCTAAATTCACAATAGTGACTCAAATAACAAGAAACTGAAAAAAGTAAAAATAAATAAAGATTTGCTAAATTATAATTTAGTGATATAAGACATTGCTTTTGAATTGTGGTTGAAAAGAATAATAAAAAAAAACTGTCCCGGACAAATTAGAGCACTTTGCTGATGAGCAGTGGGCCAAAATCAAAACACCTGTCAACAGGTGCAGAAGTCTGACTGAGAGTTACAGAAAACACTTGATTGCCTCAAAGGGTTGTTCAACAAAATATTAGTTTACGGGTCCCATCATGCTTGTTTGCTTGTTTTTATTTTTTTACTTTTAAATATTTCTGTTGAACCACAATTCAAAAGCAGGTTGATAATTTTCATTACATTTTTTATTTATTATTACTTTGTCAATTTCAACTTATTTCAGTGACACCTGTTTCTTTCCCTCTTTAATGGAAGGGTATGAACACATTTTAGGACGACTGTATATATGATAAAGTAGTGTAGACAGTAGAGACTGTGTAGAACAGATGAAACTCTGGTGAGCATATTGGAAATGACACCACTTAAATTTAAAAGGCGTTACCAAAGAATTTATAGTGACAAACGCTTTATTAGCCTTTATAGATCTGTGTGCATCCATTTGTTAATTAAAAACACACATCTCTGATTTAAAGGGTAAAGCCGTTGATATTCTATATTACCATAATACCATCAACCAATACCATTAATAAACCAAAACCAGCAACACATTAGTCCTTCTTTCAACACTTCACTTAAATCAGCTGGACTGTTTTTTTCCTTTTAGCAACTTTTAGTTACTTAAACAGGAGTAAATAGTGTGTTTGTTGGTGATTATTTTCAGCAGCAGATCATTACACAATAAGCACGCTATGTTGACATCATCTCCCTGTGGCTATTTTTGATCATTCTGGGATGACAAGAGGGTCTATAGCAGTGGGTCCCTAAGTGAAGATTAAGCAACATGATTTTTAGGCATCTACCAGCGTTTTTCAGCCAGGATTGTTACATAAGATTAAAAAAGTTTGCTGGTCAACTGCTCCTACGTAGTTTGATCAGAGATTATACATTGAGATTACTTTGACATAGTCAGCTACTCAGCTACATTGAATTACTGTATGGTGTTGGGGTGCTGTGTTGTTGTACTTTAGTAACCGCTACCACCAGTAGGGATCACAAGGCTCTTGCACTGTCATATTGTAGGCCATGGCTGATTAGTCTGGGAGACCTTGTTCTATAAAAAAGAGAAATCATAGGCAGTGAGAAATACACATATGGATTATTTATAGACACACAGCGAGAACCATAAAATGTCTTTAAACCCGGTTGGTAACCTGTTATCTCCCCCAAAAAAACAACCACAAAATGTATTTAGTTCGAGTGCTTCAATTATAACTTGCTAGTTGTTTAGTGAATTTTCAAGATCCAAACGTGAATGTCTCTAATTCACCAAAACTAAACTAAAAGAGATTTTTCCATCAACAAATCAGGATCCAACACCATGAGGGCTTTTGTGTTCACATTTATAGCTGATACAGTTTAGGTCCAGATGAATAATAACAGAACAATAAGAGGTTCTGTTATTCTGTGATATTCATTATTGCCCCAAATGAAAAAAAAAACAAAAAAACTTTATAAATCACTTTATTACGAGAATTTCTGATATTGACAGTGGTCTGATTTCCCTGCAGCTCTTCCAGCTCTGATCCGATGGCCGATTCGTCTCTTCTGCTCTTTAACCGGTGAGTTCATTCATGGCAGTCTATCAAAGGTCAGAGGTCACTCACTGCTCCCTCTGGAAGATTGATTTAACTGTTCAACAGACTTGCACACAGAACTGTTGCCATCAGCAACTTATAATGTTGGTGTATAATATGAACTTAAATCACCAGATCTTTAATGTGTATTGTTTGTTCTTCCTCAGGTCTGTCAGCTCTTTGGGGCTGGGTGAGCCGCCTCGTGGGAACCCTCCGTGGTACAAAATATATCCCTTATTTCTGATCAAGACCAAAGCCTTAAAGACATTCAGTGACTTTCCTTCTCATGTTTTGTGTCTCAGGAATCCAGAGCCTGTTCAAGTGGCTGTCTCGAATTTGGCGGTTTATCGTTGGTGAGTGCTGCCTACACTTCAGTGTGATGTTGTTTACTCTTCGCTGTGTGTTGCGAATGAACCTTTTAAACGAAGGTCGGACAAAGTTTACAGTTTGCGTGGATAAGTTAAGGTTGTCAGAGGAAATGACTCAGTAATTCAAGCAGACACATGACAGCAATTTTAAACCTGAAGGGAGTGGGACTGTTTCACTGATGGATCGTAATTATACACCTATAATTAAAACTTAAGCCCACTAACTTCTAATCCGCTCCTTCATCAGGATTTTCCTCCAGGTTCAAGTGGGTGGCTGCTGTCATCAGAGCCATTGCAGGTCAGTTTGCTCCAGATTTCTATGTGCTAAATTTGCTGCTATTTCTGCTGTTTCTTGTTTGTCTCAGTGGATGCTCAAAACTTTTTCCACATCAATTCAAGATTCTTTTGTCACTTAAAGGAAGATAACATAATAATACTAATATAGAGTTTGATATCTGTAACAAACTTTAGCAATCCGTACAAATTTTAAGACATTCCTCACAACTGGCAGTTACCAAATGATGCTCATGTTAAATAACTACAGTCGTCCTCAAATGTATTCATACNCAATCCGTACAAATTTTAAGACATTCCTCACAACTGGCAGTTACCAAATGATGCTCATGTTAAATAACTACAGTCGTCCTCAAATGTATTCATACTCTCCCATTAAAGAAGGAAAAAAACAGCTGTAACTGAAATAAGTTGAAATTGACAAAAGCAATAATAAATAAAAATCCAATGAAAATCATGACATTGCTTTTGAATTGTGGTTCATCAACAACAAACAACAACAAGCAAACAAGCACGATGGGACCCGTAAACTAAAATTTCATTGAACAACCCTTTGAGCCAATCACTGCAATCAAGTATTTTCTGTAACTCTCAATCAGACTTCTGCACCTGTTGACAGGTATTTAGATTTTGACCCACTGCTCATCAGTAAAGTGCTCTAATTTGTACAGGACAATTTTGTGTTTTGTTTTTTAAAATTATTCTTCTCAACCACAATTCAAAAGCAACGCCTTATTTCACTAAATTATAATTTGGCAAATTTTTATTTATTACTACTTTTTTCAATTTCTCGTTATTTGAGTGACTATTGTGAGTTTTGCCTTTTCTTTAATGGAAGGGTATGAATATATTTGAGGAGGACTCTACATCTATGCTCAATCTAATCGTACCTGCAGACAATAAAGAGGAATTCTGGGTTAATTGATCAGATTGAAAAGTTTTCTGTGCATTTACAAGTTTTGTTTTTTTTTTTTTTCTAAACTTTCTGAAAACCTGTCTCTATAGGGTCAGATTCAACCAGCAGCAGCTCCCAGAAACCAGGCCTGAGGCTGATCCTGCTGGGACCCACTGGTGGAGGACGGACCTCACTCGCAAATACTTTGTTAGGCAACTCTGAGACAAGGACACCCATTGGCCCACTAATGGAGAGCACAAAGCGAAGGACAGCCATGGATGGCAGAGATCTCACAGTGATCGACACCCCAGATCTCTTGGGAACGTCAATGGGAAGCGACAGGCGAGCCAGTGAAGCTCTGAGGAGTCTTCAGCTCGCCAGTCCTGGACCACATGCTTTTCTGCTCGTGATCCGGGCTCCAGACTCCAGCGAGGGAACTGACCAGGATGCCACCCAGGCTATCCAAGCCGTCCTGGAACTGTTTGGAGAGGGAGCCGTGGAGTACATCATCCCAGTGCTCACTCATGCGGACCGCCTGGGCCGAAAGAACACTGTAGATGAGCTGCTGAAGGTGGACGCAGGGCGTCTGAGAAGGGCTGTGTCGTTATGTGGCCAGAAGCCTGAGCTGGTGGACAACAGGCCCGAGCTCCCCTCTGAGGCTCAGGGCGTGACATGGAGGCAGCTGGTGGGGCATGTGACGGAGGTGATGGAGCTGAGGGGGCACTTCGTCCACGAACTGCAGAGGAGGGAGGACCGCATCAGGGAGGAGCTGCTGGCTGACATGGCCTCCGCACTGGCTAGAAAACTGGGACACATGTGAATAAGAGGAGCAGAGAGAGTTAGTGTGTGTGTGTGTGTGTGTGTGTGTGTGTGTGTGTGTGTGTGTGTGTGTGTGTGTGTGTGTGTGTGTGTGAAAGAAAGAGCTGCAGAAGTGAAAAATAAGGTGGCAGAATTCATTCATGTGTTAAACATGCAATTTTGACTTTAAGTGCAAGGGTGATTCTTTGCCTGAGGTATTTTTGTCACTCTACTGGTTTACCACTGTCCAAATGAATTTACTACCGCCGGTTGCCTTTAGGTTTTCAACATGCCGCAGATGCTTTTGGTTAGATATCATGGCCGCACACACGTAATTTTCCTATTTCGATGTGTTGTAATTCTTCATTGTGCGTGTATTCTTTTGTGTGGGCCTGCGGTTCATGTTTTCGTACTCTGCTCCAGAGCTTTACTCTGCCGTGTCTTTCATAATTTATAAGAGATATCAAACTTTAAAGATGATCGGAAAAAATAAACTGAAGCCGTACTGGGACTAGAGTTCAGCAGTGCTGTTCAGAGCATTCTGTGTGTTCTCCAAAAGTCGCCAAAACAGGTTTTAAATGGTTTAACGATCACTTCTGCCGGCTCAGATTTAATTGCAGGTTTTATGGTCTGTATTTATGTTGCTGTGGTGAACAGATATCTGTAACAGGTCAATGAATGCTTAGCGCTGAGTGAAAGGGTCTATTTTTAACCGTGATTTATTAGGAATCTGTTAAAATATTTTGCTAGTATAGGGCTGTCAGTGAACCCCTCCAGTTAAAATAATGTTTTTCACCTTGTTGATGTGTTTTTATGGTGTTTTTTATATGCTAGAAGACACATCATTGGCAAAATAAGCAGTCAACGCCAGAGTATTTCCTCCTTGAAACTGTAGTTTACAGATGCCTATCTCAAAAATAGAACAGTGGAAAGCATCTGGACATCTGTTTTTGGTTCTTGAAGATGTTTTGAATCACATAAGAGGCTTTTTATTATTATTATTATGTCCAACATACTGATGGGAAGTCCAAGGTATTTATTATCACCCCCAAAGTCCCATGACTAATGGCCCCTTGATGAAACTACAAGGTAAGAGATGTTTGGCGAAAGATCTCAAGACTGCATTCTAAGTGACTGACAGGTCACTGATAGAGATGGCTGTTCCAGTTAAACACAGATGGCTTCCTTCACTCTTCTCTCAAACCATCTGTCTTCCCTGTCCAGAAGATGAACATTGTCGTTCCCAAAGGAGCAAAGTGAGAATAAATACCTCAGACTCCTCACCAGTCAGTCAGAACTTTGGAAGTCTCTTGGATGAGGGGTACAACATTTTCAAGAACCAAAGAAAAAGAAGCCAGACACATTCTAATGAAGTTTTTAGGATTAGGAGAAGCTACACAGACATCTCTCAAAAACACAGATTTAGACCTCCAGGATTTCATATGTAACAAAACTGAGAAACAAATTGCGTTAACGTGCAGCATTATGCTCGCTGTATCATTATTCTTTATTTAGAATTGGTTTCCATTCAACCATCAGGCTGAATTCCTCTAATATTAACTTACCATTGCATAGAATAGAGTAGTTTTATATTGTTTGAGAAGCAGAGGTGAGCTGGTGTGCTTGAGCTGCATTGAGTGGGGAAGGTGGAGAGAGACAGGGACTTAGGAGAAAGATTTACACACTTAGAGTTACATCTAAGCTGTTTTAAAACAGGGAGAGGTTGATTTCAATAAACAGACTTATGTAAATATGTAACTCTGATACACATACATGAGTGTTTTTGGTTTTAATCAGTGGCTGGAGAGGAATTTTCAAACGACTGAAGCACAGCGACTGAATGGTGACGTACAGAGAGGAGAGCTCTGAGGAGTCATCTGCCAGCTCCACTGAGTTTTATAAGTTTCACACCCAAAAAAAAATACGACCACAGCCACCAAAAAGCAACGTCATGTGACTAAATACTGACTCGTGATCAGTTAATAATATTCTTCGGCATGTGGCACGAAACACCACATCAAAGGCATGATACTGTGTCTCTGTGTTGGCTAAATGGGTATTATTTGGCGTCTCACCCATAACTGCATGTCAACCTCGGGACTAATTTTGTTGTTGCTAAAAGCAGCTTTAATGTTACAGTCCTGGTTGACACCTGTGGCAGCTGGAGGTAATTGCAGGTCTGTTTTGACATTTTAAAGAGGCTGTTCAAAATCAAAATGCAACCAGATGAGAAACAACACCTGCGTCCCTTTACAGCCCAGTTAAATAAACAGTGGGTTTGAGTAAAGAAAAGAAAAAATCAATATGTAAAGCAGCTTTGGTGTTCTACATCACACGCAACATGTGAACCCACTGTTTTCTGTGCCATTTAATTATTGAAGAAATGTCAGTCAATGCAACAGAACACAGTAAAAATTTGAGTTCGATGTCATGATGATGTACTTGTGTTTGATGTTAGCATCTGTTCCAGGTGACGTGGACACAGTTCAACTTGCTCAGAATACAAAATAGAAATATTATCACCTCATGAAGACGCAAAGTCAAACGTTAGAGGAAAAAGAATTGATTATTTACTCATCCAGCAGACATGGAGCAGGCAGCACTCACTTGGCCACATGATGAATGTAAGTCATCTGAAAAATATCCTCCTCTTCTGCTGCCAAGTGTTCACAAGTTACTCTATAACGTTGCCCACTAGTACAAGCAGATAAAGTTGTTTTTGAGACATTTTTGCTGAATTAAATTTCTTCTGTTTGAGAGCAATCAGAGTAGTGAACCAAAACAATAAGCGAAACCACTTTTCATCTATACTGGCTTCTCTCTGTTGGCTCCAGTTAGATTTACAATTGATTTCTAGATATTACTGTTGTTTTGAAGGTATTAAATGAGTCAACGCTTCAATATATAGCTGACCTTTAAACTTTGCACACTATGTTATGCTCACAGAGGTCTGCTGACTAGATTGAGTTTTGATATTTGCTTTAACTTGTGTTCTTTTCTGTTTTATTGTCTTTTACTGTTGTTGAATAAAGGAGACAAAAAAGGGTGACAATTAAGAATTCAGCACATATATTCTCACCAATTCTAAATGTAGAGAGAACATTACTCATTTTTTTTCATCATTGGTGGCAAATTCAGTTAGGGATTCATTAGAATATTTTGCTTTTAGTTTCTAAATCTCCTAATGAACTAGCTCCTGACTATTTATCTAATTTCTTGGTTAAATATGGTCTTTCTAGATCCCCAAGATCTTCTAATTCTGGATTTTCAATTGCTTCCCAGCATAGAAGTAAGATGTATGGAGATGTTACATTCTGTGTCATTGGATTCTGTAGATACCTTTGGGAAGAAAAAAAACCCTTGAAACTTATCTTTTTAGGTAGTAATTTGCTAGTACCAGACCTATTTATTACTTTTTTGCTGAATGAGCTGTGCCATACAAACAGGAGTGGAGACCCAGGGTCGCCCGGTCTGGTCTCCTCACAACACGAACAGTGAAGTCCGTTAGAGGGCTACACATTGCTCATAGAGCTGAAGTAACATATAGAACCAACATCTTCTGGCAGTACCTTTTGTGAAACCATTTCTCTGGCCGGTATGGATGCATTTTAACAGCACAAGCACCCCGGATTCAATCACATAATCAGGAGCCTAAGTAGTTCTGTCTGTGAAGATTCTCAGTCATCCAGGTCATGGTTATTCTCGTAGATTAATCGTAGCAACTGGACTTGCTTGAGTTCCTTGAAGACATTTCACTTCTCATCCAAGAGGCTTCATCAATTCTGACTGACTAGTTGGGAGTTCCAGATACTTATATCCTATGTTTCATGGCTCCTTTAGGATATAAGTATCTGGAACTCCCAACTAGTCAGTCAGAACTGATGAAACCTCTTAGATGAGATGTGAAATGTCTTCAAGGAACTCAAGCAAGTCCATTTGCTACAATTAATCTACCAGAATAACTAAGTAGTTCTGACAAGCACCAATCAGTCTAGAACACTGATTTTCAAGGGATTCAAAGATTTTGTATTATTGTCGCTGAAGTGTACAAACAGTATAAAACTGTATCTGTTCGTACGTAAATAAATAAATGGTTTGTGTGTATGATTTAGGTTTTGCTGTGAATTTAGCTGAAGCTCTTGTGCAGAACATGACGACTGTAGGGATGAAAGCTACTTTGCATAGATCTGAAAACAAGTGATGCAAACTGCTGAACAATACAACACTAACCCGGAATCTGCAGTCAAAAGAAAGAAGAAAAAAAAAGTGTTATGCATGCACTTGTCTTACTTAATGTAATTATAATCATCTTATAAGCATAATCAACAATTAAAATGTATAACTATATGAACAATTCTAGATTTTGAATCAGATGAGGGTTTAAAAATAAGCTTATTGTGCTGTGTGAGCTCTCATGTACTTCAATACTCAACAAAAAATATAAACATAGCCTATAATATTTTGCTATTCATTCTTTTTACCATAGGGGAATAAGTGTTTGTTATTCCAACACACGACTTCTCTACAACAGAATGCACGTTATGAAACAACCAAGCACGCACCATATTAGACTCAAGAACAAAGTCAAAGATCAAAAAGTCAGTAACAAGTGGGACATGTAATACCACGTGGAGTTAAAGAGGTTGTCAATGCTGCTTGTGGAATGTCAATGTCTCACTTTTCCAAAAGAGTTTGGTGAAGTTGATGGACATTTTTGGGGACAGGATCACGGACATCCAGAGCTGTCTGAAAAGATAAAAATGGCGGCATTGTGGACATTCATGTACTTTGTTATGGCCCTAACTGATTGGCCAACATCCTGCAGGACAACAGCCCGTCTTTTTCTTGTCATCTGTGGAATCATGTAATTTGGTCTTTCATAGTCACTCGTCAAAGGAGTGTCTGTGTGCTGGTCACATCGTCTGATAAGCCACACCAGGACGAGGTTTAATACACTGCTCAAGAATTTGCCACCAGCTGAACGGTAAAAAATAACTTTTATTGCACAACTGGCTAAATTTATCCCTCTAGAAGCATAACAACACATTTTTTAAAGGTTTTTCTCTTTGTCAGAAAGGAAGACCATTTGCATGCTGCATTTGTATTTTTTTCTTCTGAGTGTTTCTGACCAACCAAAATGTTTGCAGTGATATTTTATTAATTCAAAAATTGTGTATTTTTGTCACTGAAAAGTGTATTAAAATGCATTTCTTTTGATATATGTAAATGAAGAATCTGTGCATGTTCTCATCAGTTAAAATGTGTGTGATTTAGGTTTTGCTGTGGGTTTAGCTGAAGCTCTTGCACAGACTCTTAAAGACTGTAGGGATGAAACCTACTTTGCAGAGCTCTGGAAATAAGTGGTGCATTCTGCGGAACAATGCAACACTGACCCAGAACCTGCAGCCAAAAGAGAGAAACAAAGGACTGGATGGACACAATGTGATGTCTCAGCTGTGTGGGTGTTTTAAGCCGAACAAGGACACTTTGGACATGTGTACTTATAATAATAACTATTGTTATTAATAAAAGACAAGGAAAAGGAAGACAATATTATAACGGAAAGCCAATCAGGTTAAACAGAAAGGAAATAAAATGCAACATACAGAATTCATTATAAATCAATTAAAGAACAAACACTAATTGATACATATAGAACAGTAAAAGCACCACAATCGCCATAGCTTAATTAAAAGAGAGTGTGTTATTTAAATTGTAATTATCTCATGAGCTTTGTCAATAATGAAAAATGCATAAGTTTAGCAAATTAGTGTCACATCAAAAGCTCATTTTACTGTGCATGAGTTGTACAGTCATCCTCAAACGTATTCATACCCTCCCATTAAAGAAGGAAAATAACAGCTGTCCCTGAAATACGTTAAAATTGACAAAAGTAATAATAAATGAAAAAATGTAATGAAAATCATGACATTGCTTTTGCATTGTGGTTCAACAGAAATATATATTTAAAAACAACAACAACAACAACAACAAAAACAAGCAAACAAGCATGATGGGACCCGTAAACTAACATTTTGTTGAACAACCTGCTGAGGCAATCATTGCAATCAAGTGTTTTCTGTAACTCTCAATCAGACTTCTGCACCTGTTGACAGGTATTTTGATTTCGGCCCACTGCTCATCAGCAAAGTGCTCTAATTTGTCCAGGACAGATTTTTTTTTTTTTTTTTTAAATTCTTTTTAACCACAATTCAAAAGCAATGTCTTATCTCACTAAATTCTAATTTAACAAATTTTTATTTATCATTATTTTTTCAGTTTCTAGTTATTTGAGTGACTATTTTAAATTTACCCTTTTCTTTAATGGAAGGGTATGAATGAATTTGACGACGACTGTATGCGTGCTTCTACATGGCAGAATTACTAGTATTAGCAAAGTTAATTTTATTTAAAGGTCAGTTTTAATCACTCTTCCATGTGTGCTGCAGGCAGCATGTGGAGCAGGTGAGCTCTGGGAGGTGATCGCGGGTCTGCAGCCTGCTGCCGGAGGAGGATCCGCTCCGTCTCCTGACGCAGGCCGTGACAGCAACATGGAGCCACACAGGCGCCACTGCGCATGTCCGCGTCTGCACGGACGGAGAAAGAGACAGAGAGAGCCACAACAGGAAAAAAGTGGCAGAGACAAAGGACCGAGCAGCCTTCAGGGGGGGAGAGGACACAGCAGAGTCAGCTTTTAGACCGGTTTCTGACGGTCCAGCTGTGACTCCACCGCCGGGAGACGAGCTGGTAAGTGGTCGGTGAGAGAAAATTAAGTTATAAAGGCGTAAAGGAGCCTTTGTGGTTGTGTTTGCTGTGGACACGGAGTCACGTAGAGCAGCCACAAGACCAACGCCAGATATCTGCTGCTAACATGTGTTAGTTGTGTCTGTAATGAGTCATTTCAGAGTATAACAGCAGCTATCTCTGTTTAACGGAGTGTTAGCTGGCTAATGTGTTTGTCCTGTGTGTGGCTGTTGTCATACTGTGCTAGCTTACTGAGCAGCTTGCTTCCTCTATCCTGGAAATGTTTACCTTCTTCTCATTTTGGGGTCTGCTGACCAAGAGGAGCTCTCAGTTTAATATCATGTTAAATCAGTAATCTGTCAACATCAACAGGAAATTTAGCCCTGCTTTATAGTGTTTAAACACTGTACCAGCTGTTTTTTTTTAACCATTCTGGTCTTCTGCTAAGTTCTGATTAGTATTTGTGGCCATTTTTTATTTCAAATAACTGAATTATCAGATAACCACAAAATCACATCATAAAAATACTGCTTTTCCTTTTGCGTTTCATTCTCTGCTTGACATCAAACTCCTCGTTACGTCTGTTCCAGTGAAAGTGAGGCTTCATGGTCAGCACTGTGGTGATGGAAAGAACTGCAAAGCTATAGGCTGCTGTGGAAAGAGCTGTCAGCGCACACAAACACAGAGGATGGAGGAAGTGGAAACACGGAGAGAGTAATGGCAGTTTGATTGACAACACAGCTGTGGCATTGTTGGAGGAGTAATCTTTCATTTGGGAGCATCTGGAGTATCTTTGTTTGCGATTTTTTTCCTGGTAATTCCATCTCGAGTTCCTCCTTCTGCCCCCTCCTCCCTTTCGGCAACTTCAGATCTATTCTTTAGAGAGAGCAGGTGCTGCTGTGTTGAACGGCCACAGGTCTCTTTACCTTGCAACCCCCACCTCCCGCTAGACAGCACACAGCAACACACAAGCTCCTCTCTTCCAAGCTGGCTGAGAGGTTGCCATGGCAATGGTTGTCATGATGCCGATGTAGCGTCCTGAAAGTAGTGGTGGTGGAGGTAGTGGTGGAGCTGGAGGAGGTGGTGGCTCCGGCGGTGGTGGTGGTGAACGTCCAGGGATGGGAAGCGCTCCGTATCCAGCCGGTGAGTGGAAGGGGAAGGGGCGAGGAGGCCTGCAGGAGCTGGGCTGTATGCCCTGGAAGGTCAGCAAGCAGAAAGGTGGCGGCGGCGGAGGAGGAGGAGGAGGGGGGGAGGTAGTGGTGGGAGCCGAGGAGAGGAGGTGCAGGGATCCCAGGGATGCTCAGCAGCAGGATCTCTCGTCGTCCTCCTCCTCCCTCACCCCCCCAGCTCCTCCCCAGCCTTCTCTGACACCTCCGGCCATTTATCATGAGAAGCAGCGGAGGGAGCTGTGCGCCCTGCACGCGCTCAACAACGTCTTCCAGGATGGGACAGCCTTCAGCCGGGACACCCTGCAGGAGATCTACCAGAGGTAAGGACGCTGGTTCACCAAAATGTTAGCAGGTTTAGTCTGAATCAAATCAGACAGCATTCAGTTAATGAGTTGCTTGCTGTCTCAGATTTTACTAATTTGTTATTTTGGATTCAAAACTAAGTTCTGCAAAACATTTTGGCAGAATTTTAAGGATTTTGCATGTTTTCAGATCAGGAACTCTTTCACTCTCAAAAAGAACGCCTTATCTGGAAAGCTGTTTTGAGTGTTTAATATCTCTAGAAATAGAACTCCCAGAGTCATGAAACTGGATGAGGACACAGACAAAGACTGTATTCTTAGTAGAAAATATGGATACTTCCATCTATATCCACATAAAGCAAGTTTCTGGGGCCCCATTACCACCCTTGTTTAAAAATGTTTTACTTTTTCCATTTTCAAGTGCCAATAATTAGATATTTGGCCTCTGCTGGAACCATTCAATCATTTGTGTCTGCTGGAAACAATTTAGTCTGTGTCCTCGCCACATTTCATACTGGTGGGAGTTATATGTAGGAAGGTATTGAACCCTTAAAACGACTTCCCAGATAAAACATTTTGAAGTTAAAAAAACAAAAGTTCCCAGGTCTGAAAATATACAAAATTCAGCCAAAATATTTTACACAGTTTAATTGTAGGTCCCAAACAACAACATCTGAGACAATGGAGCAACATCACTATCTGAAGTGACTCAGATCGACCAAGAATGCTCACATGAAATGTTGTGGACAACCTGTGGATGACGCCTTGTGACTTGTTACAGACTTTCTCCCAGCACGATGGTGACGCCTCACAAGAAGAGCATGCTGGGAAATGGGAACTATGACGTAAATGTCATCATGGCAGCCCTGCAGACCCGAGGGTTTGAGGCTGTTTGGTGGGATAAAAGAAGGTATGTATCACTGAAATTCGATTTTTCTGTTACTGACAAAACAATATTGGGTCTTAGGACAGTTATCACGTAACCTGTTTTTGTGGGTTTTTTTCTGCACCCTTACACACATCATTCTCTTGTGTTGCAGCTGCAGTTTATTTTTAACAATTGTTTCCCCAAAGTGGTCAATATGAGGTTCAGGCAGTCGGAGCTGTTGTTTGTCTCTTGTTACTTTCTTATCTTGCTTGAGTTCACATGAGGACAGGAAATCTTTCAAGCCATCTGCAGTAAAGGAGCACAAACTTAAATCCTAGAATGTAAATGCTGGAAAAAGGCTCTCTGTGTCTTCTGCTGCACCTCAACCACCTAATCAACAGGGTCTTTAATGACCACTTTAATTAGTCTGTAGTTCCATTATTTAACAAACTCAAAGAGACAGTGTTATCAGCGTCTCTCATTATCAGTCTTACATGACTGTTGACAACAGCAGCAGCCACAGACCTGCTTTATCAATAGGACGTATTCCTGTTTTTCTGCCCTGAGCAAAACAGGAACAAAATCACGGCTGCTCTTAATCTACAAAACAACAGCACAACTCTCTGCTTCTGATGGGTAAAACAAAGTGGAGATGTAACCTTTTGTGTGTCATTAAGGCTTTTACGTGTTTAGCTGTTTCGGGATTCTAACCAAAGACAGAAACAAAAACCACAGATTACCACTTACGCTCTCAGGAGAACTAATGAGTTTTCACAGCGTCCTGACGATTTCTTGAAAAGAGGAAACATGACACATTTCTTGTTCCATTTTATGTTTATGAAGTAGCTGTGACCTAAGGCTGTTTTTTTGCAACTCTCCTTGTTTTGTTTTTTACCACAGGAAACACTGACAGCCAAGATCTTAGAATCATTTTTCAAACCCTGGTAATACAAAAAACAAACTACACAACATATGTGACCTAGAGCTGAAACAAGTAATCAATTAGTTGTCAACTTATAAATCAATCTACAGCTATGTTAATAATTGATTAATTAGTTTGAGTAATTGTTTAATCATACAAGTAAAAGTTCGTATTCCTTTATTAAGTTTGAATTTTTCTGGTTTCTTTACTCCTCTATGACAATAAACTCAATATCGTTGGACCAAACAAGTCATCTGAGGATGTTATCTTTGGGTTTGGGAAACACTGATCCTCATTTTTTACCATTTTGGGACATTTTATAGACCAAACAACTAATGACTAATTTTCGGACTATTGAGCGCACCTGAATGTAGGCCACACCCACTAACTTAAAAAAGAAAAAAACATTTGTACATATACAGGCCACACTTGTCTATAAGCCGCAGGTGTCCACAGTGTATCATGAGATGTTTACACAAAAAGATTTTTTTAAACTTGTAGTTAAATACATATCCGTAAAATATACAAATACGTACCGTAAATGCTTTTTTTCCGAACAGTGCCTGTAACATGGCTGGTTAAAAAAATAAATAACACAGTAGCCTACCAGGAAAAGTCATTGATCGCTATCTTCATCTTCCTCCTGCGCACTAAAACCACTAAAGTCATCTTCTTCAGTGTTGGAATTGAACAGCCATAGAATTACCTCTTCACACACTTGCTCAGTCTCTCAATGTCACTTTCGTCTCGAGGCAAATTCCTAAAAATCCTAAAAATCCATAAATTAGCCACGTCATTGTTTAAGCCGCAGTGTTCAAAGCGTGTGAAAAAAGTAGCGGCTTATAGTCCGGAAATTGCAGTAAGTAATCAAGAAAATAACTGAAATATAATTGACAATGAAAATAATTGGTTGGTTGCAGCTCTAATGTGAACCTGTGTGGGAAATAGACTTTCTAGTAGCAGCTCTCAAATCACAGCTTGTAACTCATAAGAACAACAGTTCCTAATTATAGCACAAGCGCTGCTCAGTTCTAAATAAACTTTGGCAAAAAGCAAAGTAAACGCACATTAAGAAAAGGACATCATTTGTAATACAACAGCAACAACTTCTCCTAATACAGAACATGCTGTTCTGTTATCAGCGCACTGAGAACAATGTATTGAGATGTGGTCTGATACTGCAGCAGAGGTGTGTCGGTCTTTTACAGCAGACATTTCAATGCTGGGCCTTGCATGCGGAAAGGTCGGCCTTTTGATGCTTAATGGCTGTTTGACTTTTGATGGATGGAAAGTTTACGCATATTGGTGCACAAACTTTCCATTCCATCCATCAAACAGGGTTTTTGCAGTTTGGTACACATTGTTTCGTCACTGTCATCAATGGAAACGGACAAAATAGAAAACGCTCTGTAGTAAATACTGGGGCTGCAACTAATAATTACTTTAAAAGTCAATTCATCTGTGGATCATTTTCTCATTTAAGCAATACTTTTTATGGTTTGTAAAATATCAGTAAGTGATGATAAGTGTTGATCATGGTTTTCCAAAGCTCATTATGGCATCCTCAAATATCTTGTTTCAGCAAAAACCCAGCGGAATAAAGAATCGAGAAAACATTCAATTTAAGAAGCTGGAATCAGAGAATTTTACCTTTTTGTTTTTTTTCCAAATACTCAAACCCATTAATTGATTGTCAGAAAAGTTTTTTTAAAGCTTTACTTGTGAATTAGGAATGTTATGAGACTGTAGGCAATGCCTATCTTATACAATATATATATATATATACATGACTATATGTACTGCTGTTTGGCTACATATCGTTTTTTCCTGAGCGCAAGCATTCATTTTCAGTTGTTTCCAGAGGAGGGAGTGTATACAACTGCCTAGAAAAAAAAAAGTGTTAGCGCTCCACTTTTTCTTTGATTACTTCTACTTAAAAATCTCTGAACTTTTCAGAAAGGCACTGATGTTGTCATGAGGGCGAGACTCATCACCCTGGTAACCAAGAAATGGAGAAGCTTTTCCTTGTCTCTGACTATCCTGAACTGTACGATATTTCAGACAGAAATCATTACAACTACGGGCGATGCTAGTTTCCCGTACAACGGAAGTTAATGTGGTGATTTGTTGTCATAATAGTGTTGGAGAAACAACTCTGCGTTTCCCAGTGCAAGACAAAAATGCTAAATATATTCATGACATTAAAGGAATTTTCGCTGCTCCATGAATCCTAACAATAAAATGTACAAAAATGTTCTATATTGTAAATTGCAGATTGATTTCTATTTCAATCGTTACTTTGTGCAGTGTTTCTCTGCTGCCCTCAATGAGAACTATTTCAAGCAGGTTTCTGGGTCTTTAAGTTAATTTTTTACATCATTCATATATTTGCTACAGATGATGGTCAACAGTAAAATACAGATGATGAAATTTGTAATCAGATGAACAATCATAAAACCTCCATGGTCAGATAAACACCCCCCATTACAGACTGCGCGGACAACATTTCCTACTAAAACAAACTACATAACATGCAATATAATGTGCTCATTTCTCCAACAAACACACTATGGCTTCATATGTAGGGTGAAAAGGCAGAAAAGTCACAAAAGATATATTTCAAATCCAAACTACAAACTACAAGTTTTCTCCTTCCAAGTAATCCCCTGGAGTCTAACACACCTCCCCAGCCTTCTCTGCCACGCTGCCATGCACTCCTGGAAGGATTCTTCCAGGATCCTCCGCAGCGCCATCATTATAGCCATCTTGATGTCGTCCACGTCTTAAAAACGGGTCTCCTTGATGACCCCCTTGAGCTTGGGGAAGAGGAAAAAATCCCACGGAGCCAGGTGGGGTGAGCAGGGAGGTTGCTCCAGCTCGGCGATGTTCTTCTCAGCCAGGAACTGTTGGATGCTCAGGGCATTGTGAGCAGGCGCATTGTCATGGTGAAGCAGCCACCACTTGTCCTGCCACAACTCTCACCTCTTCTCGCACACTGAATGACATAAACGGCGCAGGATCTCTTTGTAGACGTGCTGGTTGATCGTCTGATTGGAAAACTCATAGTTTGTAGTTTGGGTTTGAAATATATCTTTTGTGACACCAGTCCTGGAACTTCTCTGCCACACCTCATAGCTACCTCTAACAGTGCAAAAGTGAAGCTTACACAAAGTAAATGCTGCCTTTCTTCCTCCAGGGATGTCGGCAGCATCGAGCTGTCCAACGTGGAGGGCTTCATTCTGAACGTACCGTCCAATCTGCGCTGGGGACCCCTCCGGCTGCCCCTCAAACGGCAGCACTGGATAGGCGTCAGAGAGGTGGGAGGATTCTACTACAACCTGGACTCAAAGCTGCGTAACCCTCAACCCATTGGCAATCCGGATGAGCTCAGGTGAGAGTGACGGGGAGTGTGAGGGGATGGCGGCTACAGACAGGATTGTTTTACTCTTTGGTTGCTTAGAGTGAGTCGGTCGTGGAAGTGTTCATGTAGAGGATGGAGCCAAGAAATGCACAGCTTGTTCCTTATTAGAGGAAAGCGTACGGCCGACCATACTGGTCTGTCTGACAGTTTAGTCAACAGAAAAAGATTTATTTACAGCCGCTCACTAGGTAATGTGTTTGGTATTCAGTCTGTTCTAAACCTCTGTGACACTGTTAACATCTCCTGCGGCTTTCTCAAAGAATATTCATTGAATCAGAGTCTGGAAGACCTTCTTACTCTAAAGCAGCTGCAGGAAGTGTTTAGTTTCACTCAATACTTCAGCACAAACTGTCAAAGCTCTTGTAACACTAAATAGTAAAGCAGTTCACTTCATGCTGGACCTCCAGTCTGCTAGATAAAGATCTACATGTTTAAGGGAAACACAAATCAAATGATTGGCAATGGACTATTACACAGAACTGAACTTGGTGTCATTTGCTTGTGCGCAAGTCATAATTTAGTGTTTTTGGAGTGAAGGAACCCCCTCCTCTGAGGACGCAGCGGAAATAAAGAATGACCTACAGTATGCGTGGCATCTCACAGCTAAACGACAGTGTTGGTTTATTGTGGTGTTAACAGGACACATCACAGGAAGCATTCTAGCAGCCATGCTTGGGTAATGTAAATGCTTATGTATTTTTTTTTCCTTTAAGGAATTGCTGCCATAAAGGAACAGTCAGATTCTAATCAAACACACTTTTTTGTCATATTCACTGAATATCTGCTCACAGCCCATTAGCTGTCTGTTCTGTGTGGGCAGGATGCAACTAATGATTATTGTCACTGTTGAACAATCCAATTTGTTCCCCATTTTTTAGATTGAGGAAAAAATGTATTAATCAGCTGGTTATTTTTTTTTGCACAAGGAAATGTTTCCCAAAGCCCAAGATGACATCCTCAAATGTCTTATTTTGTCTTTAAATTTAAGAAACTAGAATCAGAGACTTAAAAAAAAATTAAAAATTGCACAAACTGCATAATCTATTGTCAGAATAGTTGACAATTTGTTTAATAGTTGACAACTAACCAGTTATTTGATGAAAACATCCAGTGTTTGGACACAGCTTAGACCAATCCACACAACACCATTCCAGCATGTGCTGTTCACAGGACAGGGGGGAAAAGAGAAGCATGTTAATCTGGCACATGATAATTATTTAGGTATGCTAGTGACCTGAATCTTTCTCCAGAATTGCAAACTGCACTTTTTAAAGCTGCAATAGATGATATTTTAACATCAAGATATTTGTTGAGTGACAGACCTACAAAACTCATCACCAGGCTCGTCCCTCCAAAGCTTTTTTGCATCTTTGAGCTTATCATTTTTGATTTTTTTGATCCAGAAAACTACCAGAGGCAACAGGCAGCAGGATTTGTTTTTGTTTTGTTTGGTTCTTTTTTTCTTTTTCTTCTAACAAAATGCTTTAATAACTGATGACCATATGCTAACAAACACAAAGTTAACTGACTAGTGAATGTGGAGAACTGCATCAAGCTAAAGGGGAAGTAAATATTGGACTTACATTTATTAGGCGAACAGAAGGATCTCAAATTGCATATTAACTATTTAACCCTTACATATACTCCTGTGCGGATAAGCACACTGACAGCTGTAGACATCCACGGGCACGTACTTATTATATTACTTCTCTAGTCTGCAGGAGTCCACTTGGAAGACACGGTTGCATACGTGCACAGTACATCCTGTCTACATCTTCTACGCATACACCACTGCTGAGCATGTGCACCATTGTAGCGTAGCCACTACACTGGCTAACTGTGAGAACACAAATTTTTGATTTTCCCACGTCCCCATGGACCGATGTGGACTTTACAATATCTGGGAAATTATAAAATTTATGTCACACCGACCCTTGTGAACTTAAACATGGAAAGTACAACTCTGGCCTTAAGGTGACAGTATGCCATTGTGGGGGTTTGGACGTATTCTGCTGCCCCCAAGGTGGTAAAAACATCAATTCATGTGGCTTTAAAACAGTCCACCCACTTTAAATTGTCTTTTGCATTTTTCACCTTTTAATTGTTCAGTTTTTCCTTTCACTGTCATAACTGTGGCTGCTATGTCTCCTTTCGATTTTCCCACAAACCCAGGAAGTTTCTCCGCCAGCAGCTGCGAGGGAAGAACTGTGAACTCCTATTAGTCGTCTCAGAAGAAGTGGAGGCACACCAAACGTGGCGGTCTGACGGCTAACGGTTTAACCAGCCAATCGCAGCTCCAACTGGGCCAAAAAAGGCCACTCACAGAATAAACGGGAGAGGAAGTAGCGTTGTGCACAGCCAATCGCATCGATGCACACTTGCAGATGTGTTTTTTCCCCCCTTTTTTGGGTTTTGTTTACACGGCCATTGCTGGACACTTATCTGATAAGATACAAAGCAATGAAGGAAGCAAACACTTTACAGGGAGAATCAAAGAATCACAGTCATTTCTCACAACACAGTTAAGACTTACAAAATGTTATCCTGTTTCTGCTATTGTTGTGTTTTTATACATATTGATACATATTTTTCAGTGTCAGTTTCAATCTGTTGAATTTCTTTCTTTTTTTTTTGTCTTTCCTTTTTTTTACTTTTCAAGTTTCCAAAGCCGTGAGAGTTCAGGCTTTCTGAAAAATGCTGTTTATCTGCCTGTCTCCTTCAGTGCTCCTCCCTGCTTCAGCCATGATGTTCACTGATGTGTCTTCGTGTTTCCGTCTCTTCCTTCATGTCGTGAATCTCTTGTCTGCATCCTTCACTTTCACCAAAGCGTGCCCTTCCTTGCCTCGGCGTGACTCCATCTCATCCCTCTTTGCTATTCCTTTTTCATATCACAAGTCACAATCGGTGATTTATCACGTTGCCAACTTTGTATTTCAACACTTCCCAAACACTTTTGGCACAGGCTGAGCCTTTACTGTAGAGTCTGTGCCGACACAACGGTTTTATATGGCAACAAAGCAATGCAACACCCGGGCCAAGCACTCCCTCTAGTGGATGTTTGTCTCAGTTTCCTTCCAAGGAAACGTAACATCATCATTCATCCAGTTGTTTTGAGTTGTTCACATTTGAATGGTTACTGTAAAGTGATGAAGTTTACTTATCATCAAGGAAGTATTGCAATACTAACAATTATTGCCCTTTAGCAGAATTATTCTGTAACAGGATGTCATCAAGGTGTGGTGAGAACTGCTGTCTAAATTATTGATAAAATCATATGCAGCTAATCTGGAGACCTTGGCCATACTTTGTATGTATATGCTCAGTTCCCATATAACATTTCATCTTTTAGCTTAGAAAAAGTATTCAGCTAAACAGCCACGACTCAAGGTCTTCTTGCTTGCTTGCTCTGGAGCTTTTGACCATATCGCACCATCTTCATCAGCAGATGGAGTTCACTCAGCTGCACACAACTGCAGGAGTTCTACTAAGTACAGGGGGAGGCACTAATGTTCGAACATTCCAGCAGAGCGGGAATGATTAGTTTGATCAGTGAACTTGCAGATAATTAAAGCTGGAGTAGGCAGTGTTTTCCACACCAACCAGTCGCTGTGTTGTAATTCAAGTGGTCTGAGAAAGAACTTCTAAACCAAAAGTAGCTTCTTAAACCAAAAATATCTGAATACTTACCTATGAATTGAGGCTAGTTTTGCTGGTCTGATCAAATTTCTTGCGATTTTGGACTGTTGATCTGGCAAAACAAAATGTTTTTGTGTTTTCAGTTAATATGTATTTGACAAGACAGTGAAGAAAGACAGGAAACTGGGATGGAGGTTAAAGGAGAAGCATACAGACAATGGTTTAGTTGGCCTAGAATTATGCTGGGGACTCGCTGCTCAGGACCTTTGTGCCCAGATGGCATGTGTTTTAACTTCTTGGGTACTGGGTTAAAGCAAGTGATTTAAATATAAAGTACAAAGTAGTGCAAATTGTGATGGATGCTTTCCCCAATTTTGTCAAACTGTATTGATTTGGAAACAACTGGCCAATATCTCTTTTTGAGCAAAAAGAACTGAAAAGAACTTTTCAGCATGCAACGCAAAGTTTATCTCAAATAACTGGTGTTGTGGTGTTTGAATGGAATTCCTTGTGAAACCAAGCAGTCGTGTCTGCTTTTTTTCCCTTTTGATTGATTTCTGCTTACTTCAGCTTTAATTGATAACAATTACTGGTAGATAGGCACAGCCTTACTTTTAAGTACATGTGGTTATATGGCAACTGAGCAAACCGTATCTTCTAATGGTGACTGTGTAATATGGTCAAAAGCTCCAGAACAAGCAAGCAAGCGGACTTTGAGTTTCAACAACAGATTTTGTCACTAAAATCTTGTCAATATGAAGAAATGATTTTATTTTTCTATTTCACACACTTCTACCTAATTACAGCCACAATCATTTCTTACACAGTTTCAAATGACGCATCACAGACAGATGACAAAACAATTACACACTAAAGGGCCTGACATTTACTTGTTGTAGTTTTTTTGTTTTTTTTTTCTTTTTATTGTTGTTTTGGCTCCAACACTCATCCAAAGGGTCACCACCACAGCAGCCCTCTGTAGCACTGGAGCTCAGGCCTTCTCCTCATCCTCTTCTCAAATGTCTTCTGTCAAACCTGCCAAGCAGCTCTGAGAGGATGTCACTGATTGTCCCAACAAGTCTGTACGGTCAGCAGTGGTAGTTGTGTCAAGTTGTAGTGTGAGGAGGATTTTGGTGGTTGGGTGGGTGAAGAAAAGTTTGAAAGTCTGTAGAAGGAGGCGAGATGGAGAACAGTCTGGGCAGTAACTAATCCAGACGAAGAAAACATGATATGGAAAGAGAAAGTTGATAAGCTGGCTAGTGATGAAACATCCAGCCAGGCGTGTGTTGTGTTTAAGTATTGTGAAATGAGCCTTATGAGAGATTTCGCTGTTGTAGCTTTCAGATTTATCAGCTTAAATGTTTATACTATATACTGTATGTATTGTCTGTTAATGACAATATTGGCCTTAACTTGTTTACATAAAAATATATGTGTTGCTCTGAAAGATTAAGAGGGGCTGTGCAGTTTGACGCCATTTCAGGAGATTAATTCCAAAGCAGCAGTTTGTCATAAAATTAGAGGAGAAACCTGCTGATGCTCATCCAATATAGGGAGCAACTAATCTGTAATGATGTTTTCACTTTTGCCGCCAAGGACTTTATGTTATTTACAAAAGTTTGAAATAGTATGACTTTTATAAAGAAAAGATCACACGATTTCAGTGGTGCATGTCTTATTTTGAATCTTCTACTCCAGCCCAGTCTGTAAACCTTTAACGTCACATTATATCCAACCTGCATTGGAACATCTGAGAAATTGTCGTTAATTTGCTGAGTTGTCAAATCAATCACATCATGACGAGTGTCGCACATTTGCATTTCTTTCTTTCTTTTTTTTTTGCCATGACAATCCATTCAGCCCTTCCTACTTGAGGAATCCTGATTGTCACTGTATTTTTTTTTTTTTTTTTTGCATAAAAATAAAATGCTTATAATGGCACTTTATGTATAAGCTAATGTGTGGGTGTGTTAAATGAGTTATTTTTGCTTTTAAAAGGGTCATTGTTGAGTTGTAATGTCCCTTTTTCAGCCTCAATTCTGGTAGTGTGGTCAGCTGTGGAAAGTAAATATGTTACTTTACAGCACTGAAGTACTTTAAAAGTTTACTTGAAGTGCTTTACTTGAATATTTTCATTTTATACTACCTTTACCCCTGCTACCTTTTAGAGTTAAGTATTTTTTTCAGTCTCCATGTTATTACTGCAGTTTCTAGCTACTTTAAAGTTTATTTTGCATTGTTAATGATAATACCTGTAGTTTCTAAACCATTTGGCTCATGACCCCTTACCAAAAAAATAAAAATAGCAGTCTGGTTGGCTCCCCTTGAAAATTGGATGTCTGGGTTGTTTCACCAAACACTGAGCTTAACGAATAGTTTTATTTAAAGGTGCTGCACTATACATTTTAGAACCACTAGGGTTCTGTATAGCAGCAGCATCTCAGACCAAACTCACTTTCATTTGTGCATGAGAGGCAACAAGAAAAAAATCAGACACAGATATTAGCCTACATTACAATAGAAAAACACATTGAATGTCTTGATTTTCTCTTCTTTGCTCTGCTTGTGTCTGCTCACTGTGAACCCACAACACAGCTGATTTAAAAAAAACGACATCATGGTAAAACAACTGATTTAAAAAAAAAACGACATCATGGTGAAACAGCTGATCAGAGTAGAAAAACATATCAGTGAAGGAGAAGCAGAAGAGAGCAGCAAAACAGCAGTATAGACTCTCACACTGAGCTGTAATTAAACAAGTGTACATCCATCCAGCCAGTAGCTGTACCTGCTGTATCCTGTGTAGGGTTCCCGGGTCTCAAGTCTTCAAGTGCACATAAATATGTTAAATAACATAGATGTAGTTTTGGAGGCTACAGCTGGATGCTGGAATACACTTTCACTTTTAGAGTGCACTGTTGGAGGTCGCTCTTTGTCCATTTAGGATGCAGGTGCGGCCAGCAGTTTCAAAGGGAGGGACACACATGCACTAACATGAAAAACTAACACTGAAAAACACAGGCAGCTCCACAATCGATAACTTCTTTTTACCCTTTGTATGTACTACAGCTGCCCTCATGAAGTCCATACTGTTTCCTGCAGTATGCACATAATTGGGACATACTATTTAGACTTAAGCTTTCACCGTCACCGGCCTGTTGTGTGAAATAAACTGTCATCTGTCTGCGCTCTCAATGGCTGATCGTTGCAATCTGTAATGTTATCTGTTATCTGTCCCTGTGCCAAACACTGCCACTCATGTGACAAAACTGAGCCGAGGATCAGAGTGGTCAGGAAAACATGCTGGCTTGCATACTGCAAAATCTGACTGCACTTTACATATTGTGTATGGGAACACACTAAAGCTGCATTCAAAATTGCATACGTTTTTGCTTAGGTACTGCAGCCGCCCTTACAAAGTAATGCACTTATATAGCGCTTTTCTACCTTAGTGGTACTCACAGCACTTTACAATGTTTTCTCATTCACCCATTCACACACACATTCATACACCAATGGCAACAGAGCTGCCACGCAAGGTGCCTGCCATTGGGAGCAACTTCAGGTTCAGTATCTTGCCCAAGGACACTTCAACTGTGGAGGGGCAGGGGATCGAACCGCCAACCTTACAAGCAGAGGACAGCCGCTCTACCACCTGAGCCACAGCCGCCTGAATAAAGTATGTGCTGTTTTGTGCATACAATTCCATACTGCATTTGACATACTGTGCACTGGACATACTGATCTCGTTCTAGAATACTATACAGTATGGTAGTATGGATCCAGTTACAACACACACACAGGGAATCTGATTTCATTCTTAAAGGGCACCATCAGTCCGCTATAATTTTACATAGCTGGTAGTTGTTTGCTGCAGCTTTAACCCTCCTATTACCTTCAAATTTACTGACATCTTTTATCCTTGGGTTCAATTTGACCCCAGCAATTTAAACCTCCTGAAAATATAATTAAAATTGTTACCCAAGTTTATGTATAAATAGCCCTTTAAATAGAACTGAAAAAAATGTGTCAATGACTTATTTAGAGATGTTAAACATTGAATGGAGTCAAATTGACCCCAAAGATAATTGGGCGGTTAAGTAAGTATTAGGGGAAAATAATCTAATATTTAAAAAACCCTCAAAGGTTAGGTAGTTTTTCTCTTTTTCTGCACTTGAAGTCATCTGGTGACCCCCCTGATGTATGTTGTGACCCTTTAGAGGGGCACGAACCGTACTTTAGAAACCACTGTTTGACCACCTGTGTTCGTGAAAACAAGCAGCAGCACCAGTTGAATGTTATTTCATTCACAGATGACTATTTCTCCGGCGTGGAGCTGCAGTTTTCAGTGTTTCTGGTTTCCTCTCTGCTCTCCTAACATTAAAAGGATGATGGGGCAGCCGGCGGCGCGCGCGGACTCATCGTAGCCGGGGAGCGCGCTTCGGGAAGACGGGCGCGCGCCAAGCGTTGTGCAGATGTGTCGCAGATTTTGTAAAGTCACCGGACGCACGGAAACATCCAGCACCGGGAAGTCCGTGTGGATAAATGGGCCCGTAAAGTGCGTGCGTGTGTGTGTGGGGAGGGGGGAAAACGCGGCGGCTGAGCGGGGAAGCGGACGGAGCGAGGCGCCGCTGTCAGCAGCAGTTACCGTTAGCTTACTTTGTGGAGCAGAAGGACGCTACTTTGACAGTTGAAGCCGCGGACGGCGCACAGATGGAGCTGTCGGCGATTGGAGAGCAAGTGTTCGCCGTGGAATCAATCGTGAAGAAAAGAGTTCGGAAGGTAAATGCTTTGACATTTCTTGCCCTAATTTCTGAGTGCGTGTGTCCGCGGGAGGTAGTTGACGGAGACACGTTGTTGGGAGCACAGGATGCTACTTTGGATGCTAATGAAAGCTTGAGAGATTAAATGAGGAGAGCTGCGCTACTAATCCGGTTATCTAATTGCGGAGCTGTGTGTGAAAGGGGGCGGGATACACGAGGATGTCCCTTTAACGCAGCGTGGACTCTTGTTGTCATCGCACCGCCGCTTTACGTGTCAGGTGTTCGCCTCCGGTATCCCGCAGGAGGTCACGTTATCGGCACAGCACCTCCGTTTGAGGCCCGTTTGGCTGCTAATTAGGTTTGGGTTAAGTTACCGTGTTGTGTTGACATGTGCAGGGGCGAAGATAGGCGCTGTGGGCCGCAGAGCCCAGAGGGTCCCCTTACACCAGCCTGGACACCACTGCTGCTCCTGCTCTTAACCCTATTCAGGAGTTTTGGGGTCTTCTGGACCCCAGGCCATTTGGTTTAGGTGACAGGTATTGTTTTTTTATTTTTGAAGATTTCTTTAAAAAATATAATAAGAGGGACATTTTTCATGCATTTGGAACCAAAAATACGTCAACTTATGGGAAAATGTATCAAACATAGTATAAAAGTCTATAATGAACACCAACAAATATTTTGCACATATTAAAGTCCTGAATAGGGTTAAAAACATGTGGCTTTCACATACAAAGGAAGAAATGAAGAGTTCATGTGCAGACACAGAGAACTCCATCTTCACAAACCTTCAGAAAACTCACTTTTCCATCATCTACCTGAGACAATATCAATCAAACTTAAGTTATCTCTACTTTTGTCATGTCATTTCTACTGAGTCAAATACACTCAACTTCAGTTTGATTGATATTGTCTCAAGCAAACAACCAAAAAATATGTTTTCTAAAAATCTACAAAAATAGAGTTATCTGTTTTTGCTAATGAATTCTTAAAATGTTCATTCAAACGGAGCTTCATCAAGTCAAGTCAAGCTTTATTGTCAGTCTTACCATATGTGCAACATACAGAGAACTGGAATTACCATATTCCAAGGCCCCACGGTGCAAACTGAACATAGAAAAAAAAAGTATAAAAGTATAAAAATAACATAAAAGATAAAAGAATATAGCTATAAACAGGATATAGACAATTACATAGAATGTAACTCTGACTATAAACAATACAAACAATAAATAATAATAAGCGGTGTGTGGTTTATGGTTTTGCTTCAGTGAAATTTCACCTTTGTCGATACAAAAAGCCACCCCATCAATAAAAGTTATTTCCTTTACCCAGAGGGTATTTCGAGGATAAACTTACCGTGGTTAACTAGCTGAACAGTTCGGTTATGAGTGACGACATGCTCTGCAACAATGCGATTCTCTTTGATGTGCCCTAATTAATGTCAGACAGTATGTGAATAACTAAGTGAAGCAGATCTGAAGTGAGCAGGTAACTGACAAACAAGTTGCCTTCCGTGGCTGACCGGGGTGTAATAATTTGCCACGTGTGACCGACACTCGGCCCATGAGCTGCAACGATCGGCTAAGCATGACTGTAAACGGGCAAAGTTATTCCTGGAATTGATTTTGGGGAATTTCGTTATGACAAAAAACGGGTTATGACATTATTCTATGACAATAAATGGGCTGTTTTACTATAGCTGTTGTAGGAAAATATTTGGGACTTGTGGTTATAAAGGGGATTTTCTATAAAGCGGTATGACATTAAGTTGGCAGCACTGTAATAAGTAAAGTCATCATTATTAACACAACACCTTTAAATCAACAGCTGCTAAGACACACTGCTCTCCAGTAGGAAATGACGTTAAAAATTACCCAACAAGTTTAACTGTTCTTGTAAGAACCTGCAGTGTTATTAACTATGTGAATTTACTTAAATAATTTAAATAATTTACCCTAAAAATGTAAATATTATGACAGCAACATCATATAAAATACAACAAGTGTTTATATAGTAAAATAAAGGTTTGCTAGACTAAATCCAATATGAAGCTTAAGACTTTACAATAGTATTTATTATGTGTATAATCAGAATAATTTATTAAAGTTCAAAGCCTACAAACATTTTAGAAAACACAAATTCACCTGACTAGAAAAATTATTTAAAATAAAAATTTACCTGATCGATTTGAACATTAAAGTCAAGACCAAACAATATTATATAAAATAACAACTTTACTTAATTTTCCCAATATATTTATCTAATTGTTGTGGTTAAGACTAAAAAACAATATTGTATGATCTAACAAATTACTGATTTTAATAATAAGGTTAAGGCACTACAGTGTAGTATGTAAATTTACGTGATTAATTTAAATATTATAGTTAGGACCCTACAAAAACTATGTAAAATTGAAATTTAACTAAATAATTTAAGCATAAAGGTTAAGACCTTGAAATAATCACTGAAATAAACAAATCATTTGACCTAATATTATAGGTAAAATCCTACAATTTTATTCAGTTAGTGAATTTCTTTGAGTAATTTAAATATTACAATTAAATTCCAACAATATTACAAAATACACAAATTTACCAACTAAACTCTTATTAACACGGAGATCCTACAGTACTATTTATGATATGAATTTACCTGAATAGTTTAAATAATACAGTTATAAAGTCAAGGAAATCATATAAAACACAAATTTTCCTTACTAATTTTAACTATTAACGAACTATTAACTAACCAGCCAATCCTTGTCCCAAAGTTCCGGATCCAACTTGCCGACTTCCTTTACCTGACTTGTTCCAACATGCCAGAGGCTGTTCACCTTGGAGTTAGTTAACTATTAACAGGGTTACTGTTATTAGAGTGTTGTATATAATACAAATTAATCTGACTAAATTGTATGTGAAAGTTGAGAACCTGCAATATTATGTACTCTTAATAAAATATCTGACTAATTAAAATATTAAAGTTTAGGACACAGTGAAGTTATCCATGGACAACCCAGTGAAAGACTGTCTTTGAGTAAGCATATTGGCAACACACACTTAAAACTGTGTATAAAACATACAGTTAACAGCATTTTCTGTCCGTTACAGTTCTAATATTAACAGTATTGTGCAGCTAAAAACTTGTGCCTAAAGTGAAAATGCTCAAATAGCAGCTAATGTTTTGTAACATTTTTTTCTTGATAAATGAACTAAAGTATTAATTGATCTTTAGGGTTTTTACTGCATAGAGGAATGTTTGGCAACCTTGTCCCCCCGTTTTGTTAGTTATTGTAATGGAGATGTACTTAATATGAATTTGTATACACTTAGTATAAGTGGTTTGACTTTCAGCTCAGGCTTAAGAAGTGAAAGCAAAGTAGATACAGAATGCACACAGCCCTGTTATAGACCAGCTCTGCAGCAGCAATGGTTAAACCACATGTGTTTTTTTGTGGTTTGTATTTCTCCATCCACAACTCAGACACACATGCACTCATGTACCGTCACCTTTATGTGAAATGTTGCTTGACACTCTGATATTACAGTCAGAGTTGTATGACTGAACTTGAATGATATTTTTAGATTTTTAGTCAAATCCAAATTCAGATCTAGCGGAGTGCACAGAGCTGAACTCATCTTTGCACCGATGCATGAAAATACAGACTACCCTGTGAGTGCATCATAATTACAGGCATCATGCTGTAATATATTTATGTTGCCGGTTATAGCAAATATGGCTCTTTAGATCTATTAATTAAAGCCTAGCACACTGTGCGCTGTTAATGCAGGATATTCTTCTTGTCATTGTATATGGGGAAGTGGGTGAGTAACATGAAGTCGGGAAAAGTGGTGACTTCACCCGCTGAGAATACCTTTGAGTGCTGGGAAGTTATAATTGGATGATGTCAGTGAGAATGACTAACTCTGAGGGGCTTGGCTAGTCTATGGAAAACATACAGTACATTTCAGCGTCATGTTAATTATAGAAATTGTCTGATGGCATGGCAACATCTTCCTACATATGAACTGCAAACTCCAGCAGCGACAATAAGCTGACATGAAAAAATGCACGTTGAGTGTGGCTTACATTACATTACATAGTGATCAGTTCTGTTTTTAGAGAAGCAAGACTGATTCTTACTGTAGCTACTTTATTCTCATGTATTTGTATATTTATAAATCTGTCAATCAGTTGAATCTGAATAAAAATACAACAGGAGACAAGTAAATTGGTGATTTTCCACAGAGGATGCAGGCATCCTTCAGCTAGTCATGAAGATGATGTAGCATCCTACAGGCTTCAATAAAATCCAGATCAGTACTGCAGAAGTTATGGCACCAGAACACCCTAATAAAGTGTAATCTAACCTGTTGTGTTTGAGATATCATATCTAGTAGATCAGTGGGTTAAATGTGTTTAAATGCAGACAGGAATTCATTCCTTCATGTTTTATCAAAATTAGACATCTGTGGCGTGACTGGATTGAGGTAAGACGGTTTGCAAAGGGGTTCATACTCACCAAATCATTTTCATTTTTCAGGTTTTCCTTTACTTCTTGCTTTTTTTCCTCGTGAATTGGTGGTGGTGGCACAACATTTCGCTACAGCAATAATTGTGTATCCTCCTCTTGCAATGCATTTTTGGTGCACTGCTGCCAAATATTGATATTTTTTCTAAAACATAAAAGCACTTAAAACAGATTCCCTCAACCAATTTGGCTTACCAGAGTCACCACCTCATGATGAGTCGTGGAGGCCATTATCAGATGAATGTGGATGAAGTGAAGTGAACTGACCTGTGGTGAAGATAAGATATGGAGGGGGGAAAGATGAACAGATGTAGAAAGCAAATGTGAAAGCAAATTAACTGAAGTGGCATATTAAAAAGATTAAACAATAATGATAATACACACACTGATACCACAATGCCATGAATAATTACTTATTTAGGGGTATTTTTTCTTCTTCAGTTACACAGATATCATGATGCATCGTAGATGATCGCCTTGCAGCATGTTACAGAATCACTGTATCTTGATACCGTTAGTATCATGGTAATCATTGTAGCTTCATATTGTAAGTTGTTCTGTGATTCCCACCCCTATACACCAGTGGCTGGTTGTGTTTTCAGGTCTGTTAAAATATAACAAGGTGACTTTGTCTGTTCCTTCTGCTATCTGTGTGTGACTGTTTTCCTTACGACTGGGGACAACAACAACCGAGCAGCAACCTACTACACTGAAAATGTAGCGTTTTGCAGAGGATTTGGATCGTGCAGTAAAGCAGCTCTACTAGTTTGTTGCCGTGGATTATCCAAGTTAATGACAGTGCTCATCTCTCTGCATACAACTCTTCCGCCACAACAATTCCACCTGTCACTGTTTTGTAGGAACATAGAAGCAGCATCCCTTCGCTTAGCTCCGCCCAAGACAATTGGTTTAAAGAAATACACACAAGTCAGTGCAACAGTAGCGTCCAACTATAGCAGAATGATAGTGAGGTGCAGCCAGAAAATTGTGTCGTACAGAATGGGCTGGTTGAATGTGACTATGACATTTGTAACATTTGTAAACTTTGCATATATAGTTAAACATATAAACTTTGTATCTCCACAGGGGAACGTGGAGTATCTGCTGAAATGGAAAGGATGGCCTCCAAAGTGAGTATGTAGACTTAGTTACAGAAGACTGGGTGGATACATTAACTTCTTAAGACCCAGTGTTTGATATGCATACATCCCTTCATTATCTATACACTGCTTAATCCTCACTAGGGTCGCGGGGGGGCTGGAGTCTGTCCCAGCTGACTTAGGGCCTTAAGGCAGGGGACACCCTGGACAGGTCACCAGTCTATCACAGGGCTACACTTAGAGACAGACAACCAAGCACACTCACATTCACACCTACAGACAATTTAGAATCACCAATTAACCTCAATATGTTTTTGGACTGTGGGAGGAAGCCGGAGAACCCGGAGAGAACCGCTGCACAGGGAGAACATGCAAACTCCACGCATAAAGATCCCGGGTGTCCTCACCGGGACACAAACCGGCGACCTTCTAACTGTGAGGGGACGGTGCTAACCACCTAACCGGCTTGCTGTTTGATTTGCATTTTTATTTAAAAAATAAAAAATAAAATAAACATGTAAAAAAAAGTTTTTTAAAATACAAAGAAAATAAATATATATTTTAGAAATAAATTCAAAAAGATATTTTTTCATTTAAAAAAAATTTTAAAAAAATTAAAAGCAATAAAATAATAAAAATCAAATCAAATAAAAAATATGTATAATATAACCCAAAATGTGATGTCCACGCATGTGGATGCCAGGTCTTAATAAGTTAAAATGAAAGTACAAATGTATCTCATATTCAAACTGATATATACAACAAATTATACATACGCACAGACGAGTACCTTGGACCAATGTGAGAATTAGCTTAGTTAGAGCTCTTTAGGATATTATTAAGTTTGCCTTTAGGACTTAACCCTCCTGTTACCTTTGGGGTCAATTTGACCTCATTCAGTGTTTACCATCTCTAAATAAGTCATTTACATAATTTTTTCAGTTTCATTTAAAGGGATATTTACACATAAACTTGGGTAACAACTTTAATTGTGATATTTTCTGGAGGTTTAAATTGCTGGGGTCCAATTGAAACCAAGGATAAAATATGTCAGTAAATTTGAAGGTAATAGGAGGGTTAAATATTCTAAAAAGAAAGTTTTTTCATTTTTTTATTTAAAAGTAACAACTGGTTGACTTTCTGAAGAGGATACATCCACTTCAGCTGAAGAAGATTTGTATGAGCCCTCTTTCAGCCAACATTTTAATGGAGAATGTTAAATCATGCTGTGTTAATAAACAGAATGATCTAATCAGCTAACTGGATATAAAAACAAACTGATGATGGAGTTCACAGACAAATGAACAAGGCTTCCATGTATGTGACCTCTTCCAGGTACAGCACCTGGGAGCCTGAGGAACACATCCTGGACCAGCGCTTGGTGCAGGCCTTCGAAGAGAAGTAAGACCCTACTCAACATGTGAGACTGTTTGACACATAGCTGGCCGGGAGTGTGCCGAGTAAATCTTTCTTTTTACGTTGTATTAATCATAAAGAGATCATGACTCAGCAGACCCAGATCCAAGTCCTCTCTCCATCTGGAATAAGTATGTGTTGTGGGTTGTTGGATTGTTGCCTGTACCCCCTGCTGACAAGGCCTCACTATTTTCTGGTGGATTAATAATAATTAATGTTGACTTTTCCTTCCTTTTTTTGATGACTCATTTGATTTGAAACAAACTGACATGCAGTTAAGTTTGAGTTTTCTTGTCTCCATGGGAAAGATAGAAGAAGCTTATTTCCATGTCTGAACAACAGCTCAGTTAATACATTATTATTACGCTCATATATGCTGCTTGGCTTTTCTAGAGAACAGAAGGACCGAACTCTGGGTCACAGGAAGAAAGGATCCAAATCCAAACGACTCCTTCTAGAGGTAATGTTTGGAATTCAGTTTTAAAAATTCTAATTGCTTTTCCCTTGCTGGCTCCTGCCCAGTTCTGGTGCTCTGTGTCGCCGTATTTTCAAGACTTCTTTTTCTGTTTGATCTCGATTCAGAACACCGTCTACACCATGGATCTCCGCAGCGCTCACAAGACTCCAGAGAAACCTCCGCCTCGCCTGCGACTCTCTCTGACTCGCTCTCTGGTCCCTGAGGACGAGGATCAGCCGTACGATGACTGCAGGCAGGGCCCAGGACCACATCTGGCACATCGAAAAAGCAAACAGAGGAGGTCGCAGTTCAGATGCCTTAACTCCAACCCTCCAAGTCCTACACAGGAGGACTGGGAAGGGTGGGAAGAGGAAGAGGAAGAGGAGGAGGTGGAGAACAATGTGGAAGATGATGAGGACAGAGAAGAGAAAGAGGAGGCTCAAAAGGAGACGGCAACGAAGAGAGACAGCATTTTACATGGTAAGTGTGTCAGTCGGTCAGTCAGTGGACTCTAATCACCACCTCGACCCAGTTTCACTTGACTCTTTGTCAACCTCCTCGTAGGCAAAGCTTCTTTCACTGTGCATGCAACCAAAAACATTAAAGTTGCCTCATTCTGGGCTGATTAAAGAGGAAATAATGCAGATTGCAAAATATAGACTCAATAAAGACGCTCTTTTGCATATAGACAGTTACTGTAGAGTCTCCATGTTAAACAGGGTTTCTATGAGAAGCCTGGCGTTTGAGTTTAGTCATGTCCAACTATGGAAAAAAGTGTTTATTATGGTGTTTGGAGCAGGGCGCCAGCATCGCCAAAATCTTTACCAGAGTGAGCTTGATGTCACTGGAAGCAAAACAAGAAGTGCAACATGTGACTGAACACACTCACAAGTGGCTGCATCTAGAAAAAAACAACACAAATGATTTATAACTGCAGCCAAATTGGCTTCATCCAGTTGGTTATTCAAGCAGTAAAAGGACTCTCGATTCTGCATAAGGAACATTTTTATGTCCTAATTTGTAATTTTTTTGTAGTTAAACAATAAAAAAAATAAAGTATTTCTATTCTTTGTTTTAGAGCGAAAAAAAAATGAGAACAGACAATTAAAAGACTGTCAAAAATGGTCATTTTTTTCAGTTCCTCTTATTTGTTTTCAAAACTAAAACCAAAAAAAGGAAAACACGTGGTTGTCTGTGCGGTCACAATGTTTCACTTTTCTAGCATAGCTTTTCTGTCAGCTTGCCTTTAAATCAAAAAAGGAATTTCCAAAAACAAAGATGGAGCATTTCTGGAGTTTAGTTTTTTGCCTGTTTGCTAAAAAAAATAAATAAATAAATTGGGCACGAAAAATAAAAAACCACGTGATGTTGATCTTGGATTAAAATTCAAAAAGACAAAAGCCACGTTTCACACCATTTTGGTTTCCAAATAAAAACAAAAAAAGGATTTATCAAAAAAACAAAAAAAAGAAACTGTGTTTTATTGTTTCTTGTTTTTTATTATTGTTATTATTATTCTGGTACCTGAAATGTTCCATTTTTGATTTTCAAACAAAGACCAGTAATATGTTTTTTTAAAGTAAAAACAATAACTTACAGATGACACTGTTGACTGCCTGTTTAACTTATCTATAACGAGTTGACTTCATGCACAGTGGCAATAATTTAAAGTTAAAAGATGCCTCCAAGTCTCCCCAAAATACTAATGAGGTGCACATAATGAAGTACATCTGCCTTCTGTTCGGCTCTAATAGCTGTCTGTTCCTTCAGCATCTCGTCTGCCGTTGTCAATTTATAACATGTATCAGAGTCCAGATCCAGGTCAGTCAAGAGTTCTTAACTCAATAACAGCACAAAAGTGATGGGCTTGATGCAATTGCTGTCTGACTGCAACTCGACCCTTCTCTCCTTCGGTCTTTCTCTCTGCATGTCCTCGCCTCCATCAGGGCAGGAGAGGACAGGCGACTGGAGCTCCGCCACCCGACCGGTCGAGGTTACTGCAGCAGAGAAGCCAGACGACGTCTGGAGGCCCGTCATCCGTCCAGGAGAGGTGACGGTCACGGACGTCACCCTCAACTCCCTCACGGTTACTTTCAAAGAGTCAAGAGTCGCCAAAGGCTTCTTCAGAGACTTGGGCCTGGAGGTGTGAATGCACTGCAGTGGGAGCAGGCTGGCAGTGAAGGCACCGTGAGAGGGAGGCAGAGGCACTGACTTAATCACAGTGTGCGAACGGTGGTCGAGGGTTTGGTGTTTTCACTCCTTTTTTTCACCCTCCCTCTCTGCTCCTCCATTGCCAGCTGCCTCCAGCCTGGTGAGTGGTACGTTTACATGCACAGAGTCACCTGAATATGAACTTTATTTAGAAATGGTACTTAATACCTACAGCAAGTTGTCACTTCTCATGGCGACCAAAGAAAACGGAAAAAGGTGGGCAGCCGGCTGCAATTAGTTCAAACAGCATTTCCTCCTCAGAAAGAAATTAGTTTGGTAATAGTTCCAACTGAAACATCCGGTGAAGAAATAATACTGTTTATCACAGCACTAAATCTGGGACAAATCTGTTTTGGCTCGTTTCATATGTAAAACAAAATGTGCAACCCAAGTATTGAGGCACAGTCACAAAAGTGGAAGAACAAATGTGAAGAAGGTGCAGACTTTAGCTGAGGATTATTTTGAGTTAGCAGGATGCACGCTGCCTGAACCACACTGATCAATAGATAAGTATTAACAACCTTTGACAGTTACAATGTAACAAACTGGAAATACAGCATTAGCGTCATTATTTAATAGCCACATCTTGTTTATCCTGAATTACAGCCTTTGTGATTGCATTGTTTCAAGTTGAGACTTTCATTGAAATGAATTGTTCAGCCCTAGCGAACAAGCTTGTTAATGCTCATGCGTCTGTATCAGAGACAAACAGAAACCCGCTTATCAAAACGATTCTTCTTAAAGCTACAAGAGATCAAAAACTCCACCAGGTACCTTTAAAGCAGCTAACAGATTGGGCATCATTTTACCATGACAGATTCAGCAAACTATATGAGTTTGCATGAATTTCAATTTTGCGATCACTGACTATATGAATGATGGCCGTAGGTACATCTTGCTCTTTTGTAACCAGATGTGACATAAGGGACAATCTGACTGAGATTCGAGTACATTACACGTGCCCAAATGTTAGTGACTCACAAGATAGCGCCGCCATAAAACATACCCTGCTTTATCATCTATTTTACTGTATATGGGGCCATAATTTACTAAATAAACATCATGCTCTATTGAAGGAAATTGAGACCATAAACTCTTTGGGAAAAGGTTTACTGTGGTAGTAAATCAGGGACAAGTCGAATCGTTTTCTCATAGTTATATATACAATCTGACTTCTTTTAGCAACCAGAGGAGTCGCCCCCTGCTGGCCCTAAGAAAGAATGCAGGTTTGAGGCTCTTTTCATTCAGACCTGGAGGCTACATCCTTCTTTTATACGCAGTCTGTGGTTAAAATCCTTATTCTGAACCTTATTTTGCTCATAAGCATAGTAGTTTGAAAGTATAAAGTAGCACAAAACTGGAAACTGAAATGCTGGAAATCTTTAGATCTGCTTTAAAAGTCAGCACTTAAATGCACTTTGTTAGTCGTTACTCTGAATCTTTGAGTATAGAATGCTAACGAGGTACTATTAATAGTCATGGGAAGATCAAGTAAGAGCCCTCTGTGCATGTAAACTTGCCACTGTTTGTCATCTCTCTTCCACACTACACTAACCATACCGGACTCAGATCTTGTACATACTGCAAACTACAGTGATGTGGGAATAGCTGTGAGTCCCATACTAACACGCAGTGCTGTACCTGTAACCTGTAAACACATAGACTGTTACGACTGTACAACACGTGGCTTAGTCTTGTATGCGTTTCAAAGTCCTCTTAGAGATCATTTGATCCGCCTGCATGCCTTTCTCCTCCAGTACAGATAACGCAAAGACAGACAGCGTAGTCTTCTCCGTACACGTAGTTGTTCATCTCAAAGTATACAGCCCATCATACCAGTGACAAATAAATCTTGCACCAAAATGTAGAAATGAGAGAGATTTGATGACAGAATGTATTATGGAATTGCACTGTAGAGTTTGTGTCCACTGGGGGGTAAAGACTGACCAGCAGACCAACATTCTAATGCTTGACATTTCATACCAACATCCAGTAGCTTTAAATCAGATTATATCACGTCCAGAACAGTGACAAGGATTCAGTGTTTCTCCCAGAGGAAAGTCCTCATTTAGATGATTATGAGACAATAAAACTCTCCACTAAAAGCCAGACAAAGACGTTTAGTTTTATTACTTCTATTGCACTTGAACTAAAAATCCCAAACTTTGCAGGACTGGCAATTATTTTATAAAACACACTAAAGTCTTAGAAGGGCGATGTTTTTAGTTAATTGACAATCAGCTGGCAGGCTTGAACTTTTAATAAAATAACAACACCTCACAACTTACAATTAGCTAATGAAGTGGAGACGAGCAGAGCTTTACAAACAGACTTGATCTACAACATGGACTAAAAAAGAAGGATGGACGTTTAGTGGGTCCATCAAAGCTGTGTTCCACAAGCTTGAAAACAGAAGTAAACAACGCTTTATGTTGTTTAAGTAAACAGAAATCCACTCGCTTTCTCAGTCTTTAAATTGGCGGTTGGATTAGATGTTAAATAGACGTTAAACTGTACTGAGGTGAAGTTAGATACACTGGATAGAAATTCACTCCAGATGGAGGGCGACCTTTTAACTCGGTTTGCTCTGGTGTTGGCAGGACGAGGACGTTAGCTCACCGCTGAACTCTCATTCTTTGCCACAGAGGTTTCACTTAGGGACCATCAATATATCACAGGTTGAGTGACACAGTAAACTACCACTGCATAAACTTATGCTTAAATAATTACACAAGATTACATTTAATTATACTATTATTATACTATCTTAATGTGTGTCACAAATAAGACACACCTTTTATTTTGGGGTTTTGGTTTAATTTGCTGATTTGAAGCTGACAACAGAAAAAGCATGTGGATTTCTTTTTTTAAAAAATCAAACAATGCAAAAACAAAAATCCTGTTATCAAACAAGTTGAACACAGCTTTGGATATAGTGTACGTGGCGTCTCGTTCAATGGATGGATGAAGGAGTTGACAAAACAATCTCATTTAGGATCTGTTCTGAAGCTTTCACGTGTTTCATATGATCTGATTGAGTTTGCTCAGTCGTCAGGGAAATGTAGATGTTGGAATGTGTATTGATTTTACAGTTGGACTCTTAAAGTTCAAACTTTACATATGAAGCATCCATCCATCCATCAGCTGCTTCATCCTGTAGAGTTTTACAGGAGGCTGGAGCTCATCCAGTGAGAGGACTGACCCTGGACAGGTTGTCAATCCATCACAGGGTGAACACAGATGCAGACAACCATAAACACTCACACCTACAGCCAGTTCAGAATCACCAGCTAACCTACTAAACATGTCATTGGACTGTGGGAGGAAGCAGCAGGAAATAAACCACACAGGGAGAATGTGCAAACTCTGACTCTGACTGTGTTAACTGTAGATACATTACAGCCACACAAATCCAAACAGATGTTGTAGTAAGTCATCATGGACATTCTGCTCAACCGTCTCTGATTTGCTTCAAAACTATGGATATTTAAAATTGTTTCCTTGGAATTATACTTCAACATAAGTGCTTTCTCAGATATTTTTTTTCTTAAAAATGTCCGTCGACCCACTTTCGACATAAACAACAACATTCTATTTCTAGTTAAATCTTAAAAAACATTTTGACTTTGTGGAACAAATTCTCATCCCGGCTCATTCATTTATGAAAGTTCTGCAAAAGTAATGTTCTTTTCAATTTTGTGACCACATATTACATATTAATAAGTAATCTGTATGTTTTATTTTGTATTATTGTAACATGCAGTTACGTGTGATTCACAAAATGTCACTAGTTCTGAATCATTCATTTGTTAATGCCTACTTAGAGATGAGACTTTCCATTATGGCTTCAGTTTTTCTTTCACATTTCAACTCCCTCATAATCAGAGACTACTTGCAGAATCTGAATCAATAACATGATGAGAAATTTCAGAGCACTTCAAGCTTTTATATTGTTTAAACATAGCCTAAAGTTTTTTTTGCACAAAAAAAAAATCATGCTGAAAGTGAATCAACCTGCAATTTTTTTAATAAGAAATTCTATCTGACAGAAAATAAAATGAAAATAAGAAAAATCATAATAGTGATAAGGATAGAAACTTTCAGAATCTTGAATTCTTATGACAGCTGAGCAAACTCTGAAATACACAGGAATTTGAAACTCTACTGTATGCAATAGAACAATGTTAGCTATAGTTTAGATATGTGCAAAGACAGAGTGACGGTCTTCAATACAGGTCACAGGTCACTCAGCGCCCTCCATCAATCAGATGACTAGAAAACTGACTGATCGTTTAAATAATTCTAGGAATTATTTAGCTAAAATCCAGACAAATGATTCAAGTGCTTATACTGGCACAGCTTCATAAAGCGACAACATCTAACAGCGGTCAGGGAGAAACACTGAAAACATTCACAGGTCACTTTATAACATAATGAGCCGTGAGCCAGTGATGGCTGTAACTCTGCTGCCCAGTGAACACAGGAGCTGATGGGATGTGTCACGTCTGGGGAATCTCCCACGTCGGCGTCTGCATGTTGTTTATCCCACACCGAGGACGACGGGTCTCCTGATCCTAAAAACGTCTCTGTGTGACAGTGGAGCTGCAGGGAATGGAAGTGCCTGATGTTGCGTAAATTTTATTGTTGAGCTTTTAGGGCTAAAGTCTCTCACTGTCCCTGCTTATTTAGTTTCTGTGTGTCGGGATGCTCCGAGGTTGTTAAGACTTGAAACACGAGACGTTGAAGCAGAGGAAGACCGACGGGACAGCAGGGGGAGGGAAACGTATTTTTTAATCATTATTTTTCTACATTGACCTGAATGTATATTTATTCTTTAAAGATACCTCTGTATTTGTCACACAGATGACTGAGCAGGATAGTTTTCTACAGGTTGTGACGACCACTGAGCTGATGCCATATTTAAATGTACTGACATGACAAAGCAAGCAGCCTGGATTTGACGTTGCCTGATGTGGTTGCTTGTGCCGCTTTCGTCCACCACTGAGCGAAGAACCTTTATTGCACTTTATTGTGATGTAACCCTGCACATTACCTGCGCCAGTCTATGAAGTGTCATTGTGTATAGAATATTTCTATGGTAATACTAAAATAAATGTTGCTCATGTTTAATATCATTCTTAGTAAACTTCTTTTGATTCTTCATGGTCACTGAGGTTATTTCAAGGTGCAGTTTGCATCTGAAGGTCGTGATGGATGTACAAGATGTCTGCAAGCGTCATAAGTGGAGGGAAAAATAATAAAAAATAAGTTTATTTATATAGCACTCTTATAAAGAAATCAAATGCAGACTGCTTTATAAGTAAATGGCAAACCATGGGAAGATAAAAATGGATTTAGCGACGAATGCACAACACAAGAAAATGGAATAAAACAACATGTTATAGCTGATATTTAAATAATTTGTATTTTATGTAGTATTGTTGGATCTTAGTTTTATTATTTAAATCAGTCAGGTAAATTGATATAACAAATAATAATGTAGGGTCTTAATTGCAATATTTAAACTTGTTTGGCGTCTTTGTACCATATTGTATTTGTTCTTGACTCAACGTGTTGTTGTAAATGTGCTGTACAAATAACTGATGGTGAGAAAATAATAAAAGATCAAAGTAATCAAAATAAAATGGAATGTTACAAATAATAGATTGTAGCAGAATGTTAATGCAAATACAATAAAATAATGAAATACAAATTAAATAAAAATTTGTATTTAATACCTTAAATAACTTAACAAGAATTCCAAATTTATATTTGAAGAGATCTTTTGCAAAAACAGATAATTCCATTTTTGTAGATTTTCAGAAAATTTGTTG